GCGCATCTACGAAGCATCGTGGAGGGCGTTCTGCCACTGGGGGTCTCGCCATCATGTTGACCCCACGACAGCCACTATACAGGACATCCTGGGGTTTCTACAGGAGGGGCTAGATTAAGGACTGGCTCCAGCCACCCTGAGACGGCAGACAGCTGCCTTGTCTACAGTCATCACTTGCGCCCCATACCAGTCCCTGGCACATCACCCACTTATCAAAGGGTTTCTACATGGGGCCAAGAATCTGCATCCTCCCATGGTGCACCGATACCCCTCTTGGGACTTGCCGCTTGTTCTGCGAGCGTTGACCGGGCCTCCGTTTGAGCCATTGGAGTCACTGGCCCTCAAACATCTGTCTTTCAAGGTTACCTTTCTCCTAGCCATTACTTCGGCCAGGAGGGTCTCCGAATTAGCGGCCCTGTCCGTCCGTAAGGACCTGTGCGTCTTCAGAGACTCCACGGTGATACTGCATCTCGATCCGGCCTTCATACCGAAGGTGAATTCGTGATTTCATCGGGCTCAAGAGTTGATCCTCCCGGATTTCTGCCCATCACCTCGTGATAATAGGGAGAAGCGTTGGCACACCCTCAATGTACGTCGTGCCCTACGCCAGTACATTCGCAGGACAGCATCCTTCCGCCGCACAGAAGCGCTCCTGGTGTCGTTCATCCTGGCGTCCATGGGCCAGAAGATCTCGGCCTTGACGGTCAGCAGATGGATTAAGGCCTGCATCGCCCTGGCATATGATTTGGACGCCAGACCGCGACCGGGCAGGATCCTGCCCCACTCTACACGTAGCGCGGCTACTACGGAAGCCTGGGCCACACAGGCGTCAGTAGCAGACATTTGCAGAGCAGCCACCTGGTCTTCGCTGTTACCATTCATTCGCCACTACCGGATAGATGCCTATAATTCCGCTGAGGCGTCCTTTGGTCGCAGAGTACTCCAACGGGTCCTGGCTACGGAGGACAGAGGAGGCAGTCAGCTTCCCGCCCATGGAGTTTAAGCTTGGGTATATCCCATTCATGGATAGTGGGAGCAGCGCACAGGAAAATGGACGTTGTCTTACCTGAACGTCCGTTTTCTGGGCACTGCAAACACTTTCCATACCCCCCCCTAGAACATGGCTGACTGCCAAGGCGTGTTTAGCCTTCACTAGTTATGGTTGTTGTTTAATAAAGTTATGATTTTTGTTTGTACCAGACCAAGTTTGTCATTTACTTTGCCTTCGTTCAGACTGGGGTATCATGGGAATAGGAGGTATGGCTAAGGAGCCGGGAAAGGGAAGTTTAGTTTTAAATTGCTCTCAGTTGTTTGCCAAAGGCTGAAGGATTTAACCCATTCATGGATAGTGTTCGCAGCGCCCAGAAAACGGACGTTCAGGTAAGACAATGTCCATTCTAACTGCGCCACCACGGCTTTTTATGTCTGTTTAACTCTGTTCACTGTTCCCACAAGATTGAGAGAAATCTTCCATCCAGTGGGTTGTTCCACTTTGTTTCTATTTCTTTTCTTTTTTCTCTCTTTGGGCTGTTTTTTTTTTAATCCTTTGGGGCTTCTTTCCATTGATCCCTCACCTTGCTTTCTCTCAACTTGTGTGGCTACTTGGTACCCTACTGATTTCCTTCTTGCCATTGGTGGAAACGACCAAAATGACTAAAAAGGTGAAGTCACAAGCACTTTGCATTGACACAACCTGTGAAATATTTTAAAATTAATATGTTCCATCTGCAGATAATTGAGCTAAAGTTTATTTCCATCTCCTTTCTTTTTATTCTGAATATGTAGCATAGTTCTATACATACTTATTCAAAAGTTCCCTTGATTTCAGTATTACTTAATCTCATGTAACTATGTCTGGGATTAGACCTCAAGTCAATTTATTCATGTCCTTCAAATTCATATTGTACATGCATTCTGCATTCCCCATCCAATCCATGTATAAATGGTTGACCACCATCATAAAAACAAATAATAATGATTAACAGAAATTTATTCTGGTATGATTTGTAAAGTTCTTCACTTCTACAGATAGCAACAATCAGTTCATCTGTCATTCCCAGTGTTCTTCTATTTATAATTCAGAAAAGATTTACCAGTTGTGGCAAAATAGAATAGTGGCAGAGGTATTACAGTATCAGTAATGGGGTGAAATCTACTTACCTTCCCTACCGATTCAGAAGTGCACGCGCCGCGCATCACATACACCCTTGGACTCTCTGCACATGTGCAAACCCTTCTCCACATGCGCAGAGGATAAAAAACAGGTTACTTCCTGGGTAAAACCAGGAAGTAATGATGTGTGGGCGGAGCCTCGTGCCGCCATCGCTACTGGTTCTCCGAACCACCCGCTACTATCGCTACCGGTTCAGCTGAACCGGTCTGAACCGGTAGCATTTCACTCCTGATCAGTATCATATCAACAATTTATATCAATCATTAGTATCAACAATTTGTATCATAGCAGCTAAACATATTTTGTATTCCTCTATAGTTTCTCCTTTCAGGATTCATTTGACAGATGGAATTCTCAGATTTTTCTATTTATTTATTGACCAACAACTTCTTGTACAACACAAGTTCAGAAGCTCCTGCATGCCTTAATTAATAGATTGTACTTAATCTTTAGACCATGGTGAAGACTTATGGTATTGATATTAGCAAAAATATCACTTATATTTTTGGTAGCTAAATATTCATTCAAAACATAGCTATGTAATCAACTAAACTTCATAAAATATGGTTATCTCTGTTCCTTTTCTTCTCTGTCTTTCTTGCTCTAATTTTTACTTTTGAGGCTATAGTCAGACCAAGAATAAATGCTTATATTGTTAATGTGATGTAATTTCTGTAAAAATTATACAATAGATTTTATTTTTCAGCTTTCTAAATACAAAGTAGCTAGTTTAGAACCCTTGGTTTATGTTATAAAAAGCCTTCCTTCCTGGCCCATAAATAAGGCTTACCTAATTTTTACACTAAGGAAATACAGATAGTTCTCATTAGCAGCTGCCTGGTTTAGTGACTTTTCAGAATTACAATGGTGATGAAAAAGTAATGTTTATGATCATTCCTTGCATTTATGACCTTTGCAGGTCTGTAAAGCAAAGGAAAGCTGAAGTAAGATCATAAGCATGGTAGCAATTTCATTTAGTGACCGCTTCCACTTAATGACCAAGTTGCTGGTCCCAATTGTGGTCAAAAAGAGCTTCCTGTACAGGTAGTCATCGACTTACAAAAGTTCATTTAGTGACCATTCAAAGTTACAATAGCACTTAAAAAAGTTACTTATGACCATTTTTCACACTTACAACCGTTGCAACATGCCCATGGTTATGTGATTTACATTGGGATACTTCATAACTGACTCACATTTATGCCTTTGCAGAGTCCCCGAGTCATGAGATCCCCTTTTGCGACCTTCTGACATGTAAAGTCAATGGGGAAACTACATTCACTTAACAACCACGTTACTAACCTAACAACTGCAATGATTCGCTTAACAAATGTGGTGGGAAAAGTCATAAAATGGAGCAAAACTCCCCATTTCTCACTTAACAACATAAATTGTGATCGTAAGTTGAGGACTATTTGTACTTTGCAAAACTCAGTCTTGTTTAGCAACAATAATAAATCGCCTTCAATATATATCATCAGTCACATACCAACTATACTTCACACTATTAATATGGCCTAAATTAAGCTTGGAAGCAGCAGGATAAAAATCAGCAACAGGGAAGAATGCCCAGAGTACTCGTTTCTGAGGTGGAAAAAGATTCAAGAGGAATATGTTGTGCTCATGGAAAATGGAGGGTATTCTAGCAGCCCAGAGCATAGGTTTAATGGCTAATAGGTGAGGTGGGGATGTTCTTTTCTAAGGTTGAGGTTGATGTGATTGTTCTGTACATAGATCTTTTCATTTGGTTATTGCATTTGTTTTCAAAGTAAAAGATGTGTCATTACCCAGATATGATAGGCTATAGTTCTCTTTACCTGCGCTCAGGTCAATGGAAAATTAAACAATAACTGAAGGATTGCATGCTGCTTCCTCTCCTGTACTCTATGTTATTGATAAGAAATCCAGGACCCAGATTGTTGGGGGCAATATCCTATTTAGTATACTGTCTTTGGTGTAAGCCGCCCAGAGTCCTCAGAGAGTGGGCGGCATAGAAATATGAAAAATAAATAAATAAATAAATAAAAGTGAACAAATTAATGTAAAATATGACTCATAATGCGTACTTATTTTATAAATCTTACCCCTAGATTTGGATTTCTAGTTTGCTGTTGCTTCCTCTGCTAATAAAGATATCCAGGAAAGGTACTGTGAAGCAGCATTTAGAAGCTATAACACCTCTATATTTACAACCAAAATTATGAATCCAGTATGTAGGGAACACTTTATCATCATCAATAATAATAATAAAAAGAAACTAGAGAAGACACATTAAATAATCAACAACATCATTGAAGGAATAAAATTTACAAGGAAAGAAGAAAACAATGTACAACAATTATATTTGAACGCACTTACACTTATCTATCATACTCAGTGTATCTTATTTTGAAGCATTATATATTTTTCTGCCATACTTCAATAAATATTTTTTAAAATTTACAATGGAATATAAAGTTATTTTTAGAAAGTACTTTATGAAATCGCATGTCAATCTTAGAAGACATTTATGAAGTCCTCACCGACATAGGGCGTATATTTTGTAATATTATTTTTGATGCAGCACTTACATGCCTTACCTAAAAGTACAATTATTGCAGTTCTCTACTATTATATCAGTAATATGTAAATGTATATGGATTTTAATTGATGCACATTAATTGATAGAAATACATGTGATTCAGATTTCATCAAATCATGATTACTTTGCAATATGCATTTTAATTTCAGTTGTCCCCAAAGTGTTTGAAATGCAAAATATTTTATTAGACTTAAACTGATAAAATGAGACTTAACATGGAATGACCCAAATGAATTTTGTTCACAGGGATATCAAACCTGACAATATCCTGATGGATGTGAATGGACATATTCGGTTAGCGGATTTTGGTTCTTGTCTGAAGCTGATGGAAGATGGAACGGTAAATTAGGTTTTTTTAAATAAACTCAGTTAAAATGTAACTTCAGACATCTTTAATATTTGATCCTTGTGTTCTGACCTAGGCTCCCTTAACAAGCAGGAGGCAGGAATTACTGGCAAAACCTCTTTTATTTACACGACTGTGAATTACGTTCATTCACAGTCAGCAAGGTTTGTCCAAACAGTTTTTCAAAGTAATATTTTGAAAGATTGAGGACCTGGATTGTGGGGGCAATAAACCAACTTTGTATAGAACAACACTGCTTGGGGTGGGGGGTGAAAGCCCTAATAAGCAGGTATATACAAAAAAGTATGCAGGCTATTGCTATAATGCATTGTAAGCCGCCCTGAGTCTACGGAATCTACGGAGAAGGGCGGCATATAAATTGGACTAATAAATAAATAAATAAATAAATAAATATTTCTCAACATACCTTATTTTGTTTGGCAAGCTGCTACGTAAATTGTCTCCAACCGCAGTACAAGACAAAACTTGGAACAGAGTCCCTCAGAGTCACGAAATGAACAAATGGTTTCCTGCGAAAGCCCACTCCATTTGCTCCTCTTTTATTTCCTATGGGAGGGGCCAATTATCTCCAAGGTGTGGCCTTACTCCCGAGTTGACCCTGCTTTCTTAATTGTTCTTGTCTTCTTGCAGCTCTGCACATGCAAACACTGGGAATGGGCTCCAGCTATCTCTGCCTCGCTGCTGTCTATCTGCCTCTGACACAGAGCCCTTGTCAGAGCTTTCCCCAGCCCCCAGGACTGGCCCAAATTCCTCCCCATCCTCCTCACTGTCCAACTCTGCTGCCAGCTCTGCTGGCCACCGGCGGGCCACAACACCTTGTTAACCAATTCAGTTTTGGGATTATATTTGATATAAAGAAAAGTTGTTGGTTGCTAAATTATCCTTTTTGAGCAATTGTGTTGGAGCTATAATAGAAATCCATTTTAATTCTTTTGGCTGGATATTCTCAGACCGCTCAGCAAAACCTGGGCACTTTAACAAACCACGCTGCAGCCGAATGAAGCCTTAAGCAGGAAACAGGTTTATTTGTTCTCCACGTTTGCCGCAGACAATGCTGAGTTCAATATACGATAACACAAAGTCGGCGTTGGGATCTACCGCAACCCAACACCGTTTAAATAGCTGCGCCACTCAGTCATCCAATAGGCTATGCTTCCGGGTTTCCAGCTCCGCACTTGCGCAAGCTGCCACGTCACCTGGATGCGTCAACAGGCGGTAACAAACACCTGAACGGCCCCTATCCCAGCTGCAGGGTGACCATCCGCCTACCAAGCCTCTAGCACCCCCATCACCGTGAATATGCCCTTCCCCCCATTGCAGCCCACCATCCTTCCAGTATTGCATGGTGAGCTCAATACCTTTCCAGTATTGCATGGTGAGCTCTTTGCTTTGCTCTTATCCCCGGTGTGTCGAGCATGGGATGTCTCGACAGATATATTATAAGATTCATTCACTTTGCACTCCTTTTATGTTCCTTCACCAAATATTTTATTTTACCATCATTGTCCATAAATATTTAATAATTCCCATTATCCTGTGACTCTTCCATTTTTTATTGTATTTATATAGTTCTATATCGTTATACCTACCAAAGGTTTTGAGTAATATCTTTATTTGTTCTGTCAGTGATCTATTTCACCATATAATTTGGGTTCTGAGTGCATAATTTAGATGCTTTTATTGTAGAACTAACAAAACAGATATAATAATTGGTAATGAAGGAGGATACAGTATGTGGATTATAACAGTTAAGTGTCTTGGAATGAGGAATTGAGATTCGCAGAACGGAAGACAAAGTATCCTTTTTGGTGTCAATTGCCTGACATATTATTCAAGCTGTGAAGGGTCCGTTATAGCTGGAAATTAATCACATGAGAATTGGTGTATCAGGTACAACATTAATGTCAATATGCCAAGTATAACAGAATAATTTAATTTGTATTCTCCTGTTCTATAGCCACTATTATAACCATGATATTTTGACTGCATTTCTCTCACTGAAATAAATGTGGAGGATGAATATGTAGATATTTCCTTTCTTCATTTGTGTAGTGATTTTTTAAAAAGTACTTTATAATGTAGCACTATGACTGGACAGTTTTACAAAAATGTGTACTTTAAAGCTCTGTTGTTTTGATTACAGCCATTTAGAATTATATCACAGAATACAAATATACCATACCATCCTGGAGAACTTTCCTTCAGTTTCTTATGTACCTTTCCAATATTTTAGTGTAGCATGGATTGCAGAGTAACATGAAGCTCTGTACTCCTTTCTATAGATTTTGTGTCCTTAATCAACAGTTAGATATTGAAAAATACCTGCAGCCAGTTTTACTTTTTTTTTGCTGTTAATTAATAGAACTTGATTTTATTATTAAAGAATTTTATTTAGTAATAATGACCAAATATATCTATTAAGATACTTCCAAGCATGTCTTTTGAATATTTTAGCATTTTAAAATATAAAAACTTTCTAGTCCTACTTACTCCTTCTTACTGACTCAAACCTGTAATTTTTCTTGCAGTCTATCTCATGTAATGGTCTTCTCTGTGATTTGTGTTGTCTCACTATGTTTGAATGTTATTTGTATATTCTCTCCTGGTCCCTAACTTTGAATATTGAATCTAGATCTTCTTCTTCTTCTTTTTTTTTAAAGTGTCAAAACATGTGATAAATTTCACAAATCCTGTTTGCATTCTAAAAATACAGCTACTTGGTTTCTGCCAAATCTGTGATAAAATCCAGAGCCCGCTACTGCCTATTTGCAGCTATTTTGTGTGTGCTAGTATTTCCTAGCCATAACTCATAATTAAGTTAAATATCTAGTTCTATATCACTTGCTATTATTATTACTTTTTGTTTACATCACTCCCAAGTCCTGGCAAAATATTATAGATTTTTGAAAAAATTAAAAATGTGCAAAGTTTGTTAATACACTCTTTCAGTATTTGATACAATTGGAAGAAATACAAGATTGTATATTGAAGTGGAATTTTTCTTCACTGCAAGTTCAGGTACAGCATAACAGCTATAACTAATAAATGCCAGATTGCTAGTAGGATTTTTAATCTGTCATGGTGGAAAACATTCTTCTTTAATTCAATCTACTCACACCTATCACTACTTTAAATATAAATGGATCTGTTTCTATACATATAGAAACAGAAGTAGTGTTATGGGTAATGTTTCATTGTGAAATAATAATCCCTACAGGTTCAGTCTTCGGTGGCAGTTGGAACACCAGATTATATCTCTCCAGAAATTCTGCAAGCCATGGAAGATGGGAAAGGAAAATATGGTCCCGAATGTGATTGGTGGTCCCTTGGTGTTTGCATGTATGAAATGCTTTATGGAGAAACACCTTTTTATGCTGAATCTCTGGTGGAGACATATGGAAAGATAATGAACCACAAAGTGAGTGAGCTATCCTTGTCTGTAGAAATGAATGACAGCATCCAAGGAATCTAGAATTGTTTTGCTTAGTGATTCATTTATATTTATTTCTGCCTGTATTTAATATATTTCCTTTCAAAATGCATTTCTCATGTCAGCTCATGATAGAAAATAGTAAAAGGCACACCAGATTATGAAACTTGTAAATTAATTCAGTTAAGATATGTCTTTGAATTAATCAAAGAGCCGTGGTGGTACAGTGGTGAGAATGCAGTACTACAGGCTACTTCTGTTGATCACTGTCTGCCAGGAGTTTGGCAAATCAAATCTCACCAGGCTCAAGGTTGACTCAGCCTTCCATCGTTCCAAGATCGGTAAAATGAGGACCCAGATTGTTGGGGGCAATATACTGACTCTGTAAACCACTTAGAGAGGGCTGTAAAGCATTGTGAAGTGGTATATAAGTCTAAGTGCTATTGCTATTGCTAATATATTAATAGTTTTGCATATTTGATTTACTTATTGATTTACTTGACTTTAATCACCCTAACATTTTTATTGATATTCTTGTTGGTTAATGAATGGATTTTGGGTGAAATCTAATGAAACGGATTTTCTAGTGAAACTGCTTCTGAAAATGGATCAGATGGAGGGAATAGTGTCTCCTCCTGCCCCTATATAAGTTTCCATGTGTCCGGAAGAGTGAAAAAATTAGGAAAAGATCATTAGTGCAAACAAATATTGTTGTGAGGTTGAATTTCACCTTCTGAATTCTGTTTTTGAGTGCAGCCTCCAAAATTGCAACAGATAGAAATGCTTCATTTCATGTGACAAAAGAATAAATAACATTCTCAGGCAGTATTCATATTAATTGTACTGAGTTAATTTAATATGCACTATTTTGTCCTTTCTCTGCCAACCAAAAGATAGATATGTCCACTGAGCAGAAACAAGAATGTCTTCTTGTTAAAAGAAGTTCAGTCATTGTTGCAACTAGACTGAATCTGTCAATTTTGGTTTTTCTTCGTTTGTTTCCGCCTCGTCAATTAGTTTACAAGAATAGTATGAGCTCATATTTTTACACATCTTCCTGCAAATTTCATTTCATTTACTCCTTATTTTTTATGGTGCATTTCTTAGTATGTGTATCTTTTTTCAAGACAGGTACTGTATCTCTGATATAAAATATTCTGTGCATACTACCCCAAAACACATATTTTATGAATTCCTAAGTGCATAACAAAATTCTAAAAAGTCTAGATTTCAACATACAAGTGTTGAAAATTTCTTACCAATTTGTGCTTATACTTCTGAATAAATTTATTACTGAAGACACTTCCTTGGAGAAAGTGGTAACTCACATTATGTGGCAATATATTTGTACTTGATAAATTTCTGATGGAAGATATAAATGTACCCATACAGAACCTATGGGGTTCTGCTTCTTGGGTTGGAGTGATTAGTGTATGTTTTTTTGTAAAGTAGTTAGCATTAGTTTATTAATTAGCATTTTTTTTTCTTTTAAGGAAAGATTTCAGTTTCCTGCCCAAATGACAGACGTGTCTGAAAATGCCAAGGACCTAATTCGAAGGCTTATCTGCAGCAGAGAACATAGACTTGGGCAGAATGGAATAGAAGACTTTAAAAGCCACCCATTTTTTTCAGGGATTGACTGGGATAACATTCAGAACTGTGAAGCACCTTATATTCCTGAAGTCAGCAGTCCAACAGATACTTCGAATTTTGATGTAGATGATGACTGTTTAAAAAATTCTGTAAGTAATAGAGGAGAGTGTCTTTTAATACGTTACATTGATATTTGTGTATTTATGTATAAAATTTATATCTTACATTTTACTAATACCCCAATCATTATTTAAAATAGGCAGCAAATGAAATACGTAACAAACAAACAAACAAATAAATAAATAAAAATTACTGATTGACACTACTATCAAAATTTATGTCCATTAGGTCACAAAAAATGGAAAGTAACCAAACAAGAAGCTTTCATTAATTTCTAAAATAAGCAAAAATGGCAATCAGACACTCGAAAAAAGACAGATTTTCTTTTTCATGGTTTTTATTGTTTTCTCAGCTTTTTGTTCTGTACTTTTGGTGATGTAAACATTGCTGGAAATAAGAAACATTGAACCAAAATTACTTTTACACTACCATAAATGACCAAGGAAACCAGCGGTAGTGTTTCTGTGATGGTCTTTTTAAATCTGCTACTTTTTCTGAACCAGAATACCCATTGTGCTAATTTTACCTGAAATTAATACAAATGGATTAACCTTTTCTAAATTAGTAAACTCTTCTTGTTCCTTTAAACTTCAGGAGACAATGCCACCGCCAACACATACTGCATTTTCTGGCCATCATCTGCCATTTATAGGATTCACATATACAAGTAGCTGGTGAGTGACCAGTTTGTTTATACTAAATAATACTAGAATAGCTCAATTATTTTGTGATTTAAAAATAAAATAGAATTAAGTGCAAGTATTTCCTTGCATTATTTGTTAATATTTGTTTCTGTAATGTGTGTATTTTACATGAAAATTTCGAACCAGTTGTAGTATAAAATTCATACATTGAATGGCACATTGTTTCCATCTTCATAGAAAGTACAGATTATATAATAAAACTGCATACCAGACAAAATCCCTAATGTTAGTCCAATATATTGCTTATATCCAGTTATATCCAATATATAGTTCTTGTTGGTTGTTTCCTCTATCTAGAATAATAATAAAAAAGGTAGAGGAGTCCTTGCAGATTTTACTCTAGTAGTCATTGCCAACTGAGGGGGCAGTGCTCATCTCCGTTTCAAGGCCATTGAGCCAGCTCTGTCTGAAAACATTTCCTCAGTCATGGGGCCAGCATGACATCATAGATCGTTACCTTCCTGCCAAAGTAGTACCTATTTATCTACTTACATTTGTATGCTTTCAAACTGCTTAGATTGGCAGGACCTGGGGCTAGGATGGGAGCTCATTCGATCATGTGGTGCTCAAGTCTCAAACCTGGGCTGCTGGCTTTCCAGCTGATAAGCCCAGTGTCTTAACCACTGAGCCACCATGCCAACCCACCTAGAAGGTGAATGCAAAATATTAAAAGGCCAAAACTGAAAGGGATTTTTTAATGGATAGAGACAAATATAATAGTTGTTCTGCAGTGGCACTGCAGAATACTTATTCAATATGTAATTGGCTATTAAAAGAGCTTCTGACTGATAGAATACAGGATTTACACAGTTGGGCAAGTTTATATTGTAGATCATTTCCTTACCTGCTTTATCTAAGTATATACAATGCTGCTTAAGAGTTTGTGAATCTTTTTTGATTTTTTTAAAATTTCTGCATAAATATCACTTAAAACTTGATCTGTTCTCTATACAAAAACTAAAACTATATAAAGAAAGCCCAATTAACCAAATGAGTCAAAATCTTAATTGATTTATTGAATGTGTAGCAAAATTATGTGAACATTTAGGATTATCAGTTCATTTGAAGGAAAAATTAGAGTCAGGTATTTCAATCAATGGAAATCTAATAATCAGGTTTGAGTGCAGAAGTCCTGCTTTGTTTAAAGAATTTAATTCTGAATATTCACTATCAAAGTCTGATCTTCATAATGCAGGTATGTGGAAGTGTGTCATGATTTGGAAAAAAAAAGATTTCTACAGTTCTCCGAAAAGTGATATTTATCAGGCTAGAAAATATTATAAAACTATTTCCAAAGAATTTGGACTCCTCCAGTCCACTCTCAGCAGATTTTGTACAACTGAAGGCAGTTCAACACCATTGTTACCCTCCATAGAAGTAGTCGACCAACCAAGATCACACTAAGAGCAAGGCATATAATACTTTGGGAAGTCTCAAAGAATTTTAAAAGGAGTGATGTCTAAGGAACTAAAGGCCTTAGGAACTAAAGAAATGAAATGGCCAAGTCCAAATCCTGACCTTAATCCTATAGAAATATTGTTGAAGGACCTGAGGTAGGCAGTTCATGAGAGGAAACATATTAACATTCCTGAGTTGAAGCTTTTCTGCAAGGAATTCCTCCAGCCTGATGTGCAGAATTGATCAACTGAAAGCAAAGATTCACATCATTTGAATCATTTCCCACAATAAAACAATGAACAAATACAATATGTTTGACTCATTTGTTTAATTCGGTTCTGTTTATCTAGTTTTAGTATGGAGGACTTGTATGGAGAATGTGTTTTAGGTCATATTTTTGCAGAAATATTGAAAATTCAAAAGGCTTCACAAACCTTTTAGCATCACTGCATAATTGGAGATATTTTAAGAGTACACCTAAGTATCTGGGTAATTTTTAGTTATTTTTTTCTACTGACAGAGCTATTTCATTGCTGGAATGGGAAGAGGTGACAAACTATTCTCTTCCCTCTTTATGACTGTCACCATTTAAAATTGACTCTGGATATTTGGAAGATCATCAGAAGTCAATTTGGGAGGTAATAAGAGGGAAGAGAGACAATCTTTGTGAGTGGATTTCATTAGAATGTTCAAGTGGATTCCTACTTGAATTATATTGGATTTCAAGCCATTTATGATGGCTTCATGAATACATTTTCAAAAAACTGTACAATAAAGAGACCTAACTGCCTCGTTTTCTGTTGGAATGTATATATGAACTTTTAATTATCCTAATATGAAAGTCATAAAGATCATGTTAAATTGTTCTAAACCTGATAACTATCTTTTCAGTGTGCTTTCGGATCGTAGTACTCTAAGATTTGCAGCTGGGCAACGTGTAATGGAACTTGATGCCAATGTTCAAAGAACACTAGAAGATACCTTAGCTACAGAAGCGTATGAGAGACGAATAAGACGTTTAGAGCAAGAAAAGCTGGAACTTAGCAGAAAACTTCAAGGTATTCCTATATAAAGCATACATGATTATCTATTTAAGTCAATTTTGGATTCCATGATTTACGTGGTAGAAAAACTTATACTACTACATTTTCAGTAGAAACAGTATTTGAAAACATTTCGCATATAACTGGACATTAATTTACTGTGGTATAGTCAGTGTCATAGCTTAGTAATAATTTGGATGAAAAGAACATATTTTACAAGTAGAAATTACAATAAATTATTAATTTTTGATATTGCAAAGACAGTTGCACATATAGCCTAAGTATTAAGATATTTGCAGAAAGAAAAGAAGTAAAGTAAAAAATGACAATGTATTGAGAAAAATTAAAACCAAGTCGGGCCCAATCCATGGTTTACAACTTTAGAATATGTGGAAAATTGTTGTTGGAGAACAAGTGACCTCTAGGGCTTTATTAGGGTATTTTTCTGGAGGATCGGAGAATACAGTATGGAAGAGCTTGAAGAAACATACAAATGATAGTATTTTAATGTTGAAATTAAAGATTTAAAAATAATTCAGAAACAAAAACCAAATGAGACAATTAAAAGAGAAAACTGCTGAGTGATGATGGTTAGACTGAATATGAAATTGAGGACATAAAAATAGTTTAAGAACTGAAATTTATAGAGGGTGGGATTTCTATGCAAGGTAAAAAAATGTGCATAAGGAGTTTTACATTATAGGTTACACAAAAAGTTTAAATGTTGGATTGAACAAAAAAACCTGTAGTCTAGATTTCTTTACCATTATGGAGAGGTTTGTACTGAATACTTGCTTAGCTTGGCTTACGATTTGTAGAAAAAATCTAGCTTACATAACTTCCATGAAGTTCTGTTCATTTATTCCCTTAATGCAATTTGATCTTTTTTTAGACGCTTAAGAATGTAACAACATAATATTTTAGTTTCCATTGCTTCCCAAAGGGATACAGTATAGGAGGCTTCAACTTTTTCAGTTTCTCTTTCTCTTGCCAGCAAATCATCTTTTAAGATTGATTTACAGCATTGGTTTTCTATGTTGAAATAGCAATAGTACTTAGACTTATGTGCAGCTTTTCAGTGCTTTACAGCCTTCTCTAAGCTGTTTACAGAATCAGCATATTGCATCCCAAAATTTGGGTTCTCATTTTACCCATCTCAGAAGGATGAAAGGCTGAGTCAACCTTGAGCCTAGTGAGATTTGAACTGCCAAATTGCAGTCAGCCGGCAGTCAGCAGAAGTAGCCTGCACCCTAATCACTGCACCACCTCAGTACCCAGTACCACTGTGGTAAATGCTGGTGAGCAGTGAGTTTTTCCCCTATGATTGGGCAAATGGGGATATCCATTCAGGAAGATTTGCCACCACCACCACCAGTGAGCAGTATGTGGCTGCAGTTGGTTGTTTTTCTACAATTTACCTATCTATTGGACAGTAGTTATAGAAAAGCAACTACACTTAGCACAAATGCCATCACTTGGTAAATTAGTTAACATACTGTTTTTTAAAAAATAGGATCAATGTAATTGTATAAGATTCATTTTCATACTGTTCTTGATCACTAGAAGAAAGTGAAGGTCAGTTCCTTATAGAAGTTCAAAAAGTTTGGTATGACAGAAAGTTTTATAGAATCTTTAGATTGGGGTCCAAAAATTGTCAGGCCATAGATACTTGTTGGGTACCATATTAGGATTTTGAAATGCCAAAATCTATAGATTGAAAATTTTGAATGCAGTCTTACATCTTCCTTGCTTTTTTAAAGAATCCACACAAACAGTCCAGGCCCTACATTATTCAACTGTAGATGGTCCATTAACAGCAAGCAAAGATTTAGAAATTAAAAGCCTGAAGGATGAAATTGAAACATTGAGAAAACAAGTCACTGGTAAGTACCAATATTTAATATTGAAAACATTATAAATTCTTTTCTAGTTTTTGTGTTCTGCTCAAGCAAACAACAAGTTCCTTCACAAATATTTCAACTATTATATTTATCATCCAATGTAAAATGTCAACAGATAAACCTTACTTATCAACTGCTTCATGCAGTGAATGTTTGAAGTTAAAATAGTGCTGAAAAAATAATTGCAACCAAGGTGCACATGACTTTCATAGCAACTCTCTCTCAGTCAGGTGTTTGCCATTACAGTCAGTTAGTATGCATTGATCTTTGACCCTTTTTTCTTTTTTTCTTCTTCACAGAGCAGAGAGATTGCCTAAAAAGGTGACCTCTTTAGGTAATCTTTCCTGTCTCATCTCTTTTTTTCCTCCCTCCTCTCTAAAGAATAAAGAAATTGGAGAGAAAGGGATTACAAGGGAGTAAATAGGCACATAATGGGGAATACACATTAAAAGGCATGCAGTAATGCTGACTATTTACCAACCAGATAGCCTAAGGTTAATTAGTTAACTCCCTTTTTGCCAATTATCCTAATACTGAGGTGAGCATTCTATAGGCTGTGGAAACTTTTTCACATTCATTCTTAACAATTTCTTTGCTTTCATTCCTGTTCCTCTGGTTCTCTATCAGTGAAGAAATCATTGAAACTTACTAAAGTGTTTTCTTGCTTCATTTCTGCTTATAAGGTCATACAATCAAACTGCATTTTCTACCTTACTATTTCTAACTTTGGCATTCTATTCTCCAACCACCAAGTAGCATGTCTTACTTACATGTTCTGTTGATTTTATATTGAATTTGACCATTAAATTAGTCAACTTCATTTTCTTCTACATTAGTGGTTGGAGCATAAACACTGATAACTGTGCATGCTGTCCTGCCCTTGATTTGGTCAATTGACTGCATTTACCTAAATACTGTCTTTGCCTTCCTGATAATGAAAACACTATCTTTTTCGTTTGTTGCGGCCTGAGTAGTAAGCAGTATGATCTTCTGACTGAAAATATCCAGTTTTAGTTCTTTTCAATTCAGTGATACGTAAGATATCAATGTGCAGCCATTGTTTCATCTGTCTCGATGTTAAGCTTTTCCAGTTCATCTTTCACATTCCATGTTCCCACTGTATTTCAGTATTGGCAACTCCCGATTTTCTTTCCCTGCATGGCAGTATCCAAAAAGTTTTAACTTAGTTGTATCATAAACCCCATTGTTGCTCCAAAAAAAAACCCTTGATTATTCCTCAGTAGCATGTTAAGAGCTTCTCAGCATAAAGGGGCCCATCATCAGCACTACATTGCAAGTCATTTTATCTTGTCTCTCAATGTGATTTGCTTGATAAAATACAGGAGTGATTTACATTACCTTTCTCCCACGCAATATGAAATGATGCCTTTGCCATTTTTGCCAGAGTCTTTTGATGGCAAGATGGGTGGCATATAGATATAGTAAATAAATTGACAGTAAAATGATCATGTGTCTCTAGCATCTTTCTATATATGAGCCATGGTGGCACAGTGGTTAGAATGCAGTATTGCAGGCTAATTCTGCCAACTGCCAGGAGTTTGATTCTGACCAGCCCAAGGTGGACTCAGCCTTCCATTTTTCTGAAGTTGATAAAATGAGGACCCAGATTGTTGGGGACAATATGCGGACTCTGTAAACAGCTTAGAGAGGCTGTAAAGCACTGTGAAGTAGTATATAAGTCTATTGCTAAATAGCTGCTGTCCGATATAGGTGCTTATGGGTATCTGGGATAAATTTAATGCCTTGGGTTGTTCTGCTTGGATATTTTTGGCATACCCTCCAGCATTCTTTACTGTCCCTACAAGGATAGCCCCTTTATCACAATAATATATCACTGCAGGAATTGTGGGGCTTATTTTTTATATTTGAGCATGGTATTGGTGACTTCTTTGCTGAATTAATGTAATACCATTTGCATTTCATTTAGATTCTGTGTTCAGACTAGTACTCCTATCTCAAAAATGGTAGAGAAAGGGATAACCAAAATGAAGAAATGAGAGTGCCATTATTACTAGAGTATGTCCAGGTTAGCAAATAAGATGATAACAAGGGGGCATAGTTAATTTGCTGTCCTGAATAAAAGCATGGTGTTTTGTTTATTCTTTTATTTTCTGCTATTATAAAAGTAAGGATTCTTGGTCACATTGGAATTCACTAAGGGCAAAAAGATAGATGAGAAATCCTATTACACAAGTCACTATAATAAAGCATGTAATAATTACTAGCTTTAAAGGGAGATTTTATAAATCCATCAATAAATCGTAGTCACAATTACAAAGTAGAGTTTCTAATTCTTAATTTTGTTCTCTGTGATTTCCATATATGGAGTTTTGCATTTTCATAATAACATATCTAGAATGTTTCAAGCCTAACATTTTGGGTGAGAGGCTCACCCAAATCTGTACAGGCAAGAAGTAAAGGAGCTGCCTCTGCACATTCTTCCATTATCTTTTAATCAACATCATCTAAAGTTTAGATTCAAACCTTTAAAGTTTGGATTTCAAAACTCAAAAATAATATTTAAAACAATCAAATTAATTTAAAAGACTTGGATGAAAAGAAAGATTAAGACTTCCTTTTTAACACAGAAAAAAATGAAGGTTAAGTATACCTTCTAAGGGAATGCATTTTATAATTTGGTCATGGTACGAGAAAAAGTCCTCTCTTGACAAGTGAACTTCTAATATCACAAGCATCTTTGAGATAGTTTCATAGCTGTCACTCAGATATTCAGGCCCTGAGCTTTTTAAGGGATTTGAAAATTAAAAACTATGGAATTGTTCCTATATTAATTTATCAACATTAACATAATATGATTTTAGTAGTTTTGTGGAAGATAGTATTAGTACTCAGGAATATGATAGTACCTTTATTGACCAATAGATTTTATTAAAAGGAATAAGAGTGAACCTTTTACTAAGTTGCTAGTTGGAAAAGGTTCTACAGATTTCTGATTACTTAGTATCTGTAGTAGTGCCCAGAACTATTTTCATTTTTCAGGTGTTGCTAATGACAGAGCCAGTTTGGTATAGTGATTAAAGATACTAGCCTATAAATTGTGAGTTCTTGGCCTAGGCACAAAGCCAGCTAGGTAATTTTGAATCAATCACTTTCTCTTAGCTCTGTGAAGAAGGCAATGGCAAACCACTTCCAAAAAATGTTGCCAAGAAAAGTGCATTGTCCATGAAGTTGCCAAGAATCCAGTCTGACTGGAAGGCATTAAATCAATCTGTCTTGTTGTCATCACCTTAGCTGCTCCATTTTGCATGACAGAGCTTCCAAGCATTTTTCAAGAGTAGTCTTACATAAAGACTGTATAGTCTAACAGTGATTTAGCCAAGGCTTTGGTATTCATTGCCAGATCCAAATAGCTATAGAAAAATTACAGTTGTTACAGTAGATGCACTGTAGATACACTGTAACAACTGTGGCATCAAGGAGGACTTCCAGACTACAGATCTATATTTTTAAGGGAACGGGAAATTCCCTTAAATTTTAAGGAAATATCTGTTGTCATTTATTAACTGAGAATTGTGGATTGTTAAGCAAGTACTTGTCCCAATTCAAGTCATTCCAGGCTTGATCCCTTTATGCCCTGTGTAAGGTAAGAAACTCTCCAATTTACCCCACTCGCCTATCTTCCCCCACATTTCTCCCTGTCTTGTGGGGTAGCAAGCATCCCTAGAACTACGTGGCTCTAGGGCTGCTTGCCACACTCTGGAAAGCAGCAGCTGCCTGAGTCCAGTCCCAGCCGCAGTCACCCTTGCCTGCCTGTACTCTAAGACCTCTGCTGCTCTGCACTCTGCTGTCTGTAGACTGTAATACTAAGCATTTTGAAATGCAGTTGAAATATTCCCATATTTTAATGAAAAAGCACAGTTAAAAAAAATAGATTTTTTCTATTTGAAATTTCAAATAGCTTCTTCTATCTTATTCCTTGTTCCCAAGAAAATGATCTGTCAGCATCTTAGCAATTTGTCTGATGCAAAAACAAATGGACACTTTAGGATAAATTAGGCTCAAGGTATTATGCATAATGAAAATGAATGGTGTAACATTCTGTATGCTTTGTTTATTTCTTTTAAGTGACTACTAATTTGTTTTAAAAATAAAAGCTTGGGGTGTAGATTCCTTTTGCAGTTTCAGAAATAATAAAATAAATATAATAAATATTACATTGAATTAGAGCTTTAATTATTTAATTTATCTTCCTTTAATTAGGGGTAATTAAAGTCAACTATGTATAATAAGATGTGAACTACAAAATTTTGTCTTGAGTAAGGCAACACTTCTGCTGATTTTAAGAACATGCACACAAAATACTAAGCACCCTTCAATTTAATTTGCTAAATTATATACCAAAGTTTTTGGCTTAGACAGTATCTCACCTAACTGCTATGTGTAAATGTTATGCAATATGTCTTATTACATTTTTCTTAAGAGAAAATAATAGCATAACCTGCATTACAACTTGTGATTCTTAATTTCATGAAGATGAATATCATGAAATTAACAGTTGCAGATAAGAATTTCAAGTTTACTTAGTCAAGGGTACTTAAAATCTGAATTCAAAGTTTATTTGTAGAGATTTGAATGTTTTTCCTTATTTAGAATTAAGCTTACCAGCATTAAGATTAAATATTGTGGGTTCTATTGTTTCAACATGCAAAGAGCATATTTATTCCTGGTTATGTTATTTTCTATGTTAGGCCCAATTATTATCTCTGCATATTCAACATGCTCATATTTTCATATCTCTGTCATCTGTCCTCTATTCCGATATTCTGAAGTAACAGAAATAAGTAAGATGGAGGCAAAATTGAACAACCAACCAAAACATTCAGATATTAACTTGATTTTGTATGTTTTTTTCTAAAAACAACAACCATGGGTTGATATTGTATCAAAAATAATAAAGAAAATGTTAAGAAAGCGTAAGGACCCCAATATGGTTTCTTCTAGGTAGAAATTCTTTATTTTTTTCTGTTCAGTTTTATTTCTCATCAGTATAGAATAGATATTTCAGAATGAAAAATGAATTTCTCATTCTGCTGGATATTTGTCACAGTTAATGTCTCATTTTATAACCAAGTGGATTCAAGATATAATGATATTGTTTCCTGTTCAGTCTGTGGGCCTTTGACAACTAATACAGTGCTTTTCTATAAATCCCTTTTGTTTTTTTAATTCAGATTATTCATGTTACTATGCACCCAAAATATATCAGAGAAATATGTCTCCCACTAGAATTACCATGGGCTAACTAGGATATGTTTATATTTTATCTTTAGAGGCTTTGTACACCTAGGATCTGTAATCCCTTATCTAGGGAAGGTCATTTCATACCTTGTATTATTTTTTTTAATTTTATTTTATATTCAATTTATATACCGCCCTTCTCCCTGAGGACTCAGGGCGGTGCACAGCCAGAATTAAAAACATGAAATACAAATATTAAAAACAATTAAAATCTATATAAATTTCGCCCAAAAATTTAAAAAACCACAAACCAATTAAACATTTAAAAAATTTCTTCCTAAACCAGCCCGGCTTGCTGGAAAAAGTGGGTTTTAAGGGCATGGCGGAAGGCACTGAGGTCTTGGATTCTCCTTATCTCTGGGGGCAACTGATTCCAGAGGGTAGGTTCCCCCACAGAGAAGGCTCTCCCCCTGGGGGTCACCAGCCTACATTGTTTGGCTGATGGCACCCTGAGGAGGCCCTCTCTGTGGAAGCACACGGGTCGCTGGGAGGTCGTCGGTAGCAGCAGGCGGTCTCGAAGATAGCTAGGCCCTATGCCATGGAGCACTTTAAAGGTGATAACCAACACCTTGAAGCGCACCCGGAAGACCACCGGGAGCCAGTGCAGCTCGCGCAGGAGCAGTGTTACATGGGAGCACCATGCTGCTCCCATCACTACCCGTGCTGCTGTGTTCTGGACCAGCTGGAGCCTCCAGGTGCCCCTCAAGGGGAGCCCATGTAGAGAGCATTGCAGTAGTCAAGGCGAGAGGTGACGAGGGCGTGAGTGACTGTGCACAGGGAATCCCGATCAAGAAAGGGCCGCAACGGGCGATTAATGACCTTCCATAAAATTTGGACATTCCCATTTAAAAAGGCCTTTATTGAAATTACTATTTTGTTTTTAATTGATCTATGAAGAAAAAAAATTGTGATCAACCTGGAGTTTTTAAATTAAAACTTTATAATTATTTTTAACCATTTTTAAGTGCCAAGCTCCCTGGGGAACAGTATCCCATTTCTATAAAATGGTGAAATTTCCACCATGACTTTGGAAGGAATTCTCAGATCTAGGAAGAGAAAATCTAAAATTAGCAAAATTGACCACAGAGCCCACACTAATCTCTAGCCTTAGTCTGGAGCTCATTTTACAGAAGACACAATTTGAAGAAGAAATTGAGACAGGATCACTTACCTCTCATTTTAACTGGTAGAAAGTCCTGCTACTATAGTCAGCACTTCACACATACAAACTGACAAATAGTACCTAAACATTCAACTCTTCTGGGACATTGGAATGAATGATGGGTCCTTTTTATTGCCCAAAGTGAACAGTAAGGCTTCTATTTTAGTGTTTTATATTTCTCAGTAATTTTCTCTTATAGATTCTGGGCGATTAGAGCAGCAACTTGAAGAAGCCAGTTCTGCACAAAGAGCTTTAGAAGATGCTACCAGACACATCAAAACTTACGAGAAGCAAATGAAAGCACTAAAGCAAGAGCGGGATGATCTTAATAAGGTATAAACAATCTGATTAACATTTTTATTTCTATTTTAGTTTTAGAATACTTCACTTCTATATTCAATCATCTTAACATAGCCACACAGCAATCACATTTTAAACCAGGTTTAAACAAACATAAAGTCGGCATTGGGAGCTGCTGCCTCCCAACGCCCTTTAAATACCCCGCGACACCCGAGCAGTCAATCGGCCGTACTTCTGGGTCTCTATATCAATTAACAGCAGCGTCATCTGCTCCCCGCTTTGCCCTTCCCACTGAGGCAAAGGGAATCCCACCACGAATGCCTAACCTGGCCGCAGGGTGACTGACCGCCTAGCCTAACACAGCACCAACCACCACCAACATGCAGCCCAAACCCCACCCGATCCAGCCGTCAACTATATCTGTGCATCATTCCCATGGCTGTCATCACCGACGCCCCTGCAGTCCCATGGCTGTCATCTCTGATGCCCCAACAATTTCCTATCCTCAGATGTGTCAAGTTGACGTGACTGTCGACATTTGGGAGCTTACTGCTATATTTATATAGAAAGCTTTCTTAAACTCAGGTAATATTGTTTATTATGGGGTAGATCATTGAAGAACTATACCAAAGAAACAGATACAAAGTTTGAGAATAGTGATATAAATAACATTCAGACATTCTGTATTTGTGTGAATGTGTTATATTGCACAGAGAGAAAGGAGGATATTTGAATTAATTTGAAAATTAACCTTGGACGTTAAATTATCTACTAAAAACCACTATGAAATCTGTGATAAAACATTTTAAAGTAATTTAAATTAATCTACAATCCATTATTGTATATGATTAATTATAATAAATACTTAAATTGGTTAGGTGTTCTAAGATAATAGAAAGAAGCAATCACCTATGTTAATGTCCATATTTATATTAACTAAAGGTATATTAGATGCTGAATGTTGTTTGGTGATAGGTAAGTCACACAAAAGCTTTCTCACTAACAAGTAGCAACATGTATATGTGACTAAATAAGAAAGCAAAGTTCTTTGATTTGTAGCATCTCACTCCTTATTACAGAATAAAAAATAGAATTGCTTTTTTTCTGTATCAATATAATAATAGATAGTAAAAAATAAACCTACATCCTTTGCTGCCTTTTTCTTGAGGAAAAGATGTATCTGAACTTTATATAATATATGGAATGTTAGGGATTAAATAGAGGCATGTTGCTAATGGAATTTCTTATGACCATATAATATTGATTGTGTTTTCATAAAAATTGCTTTGTTAGTTTATTCTTTATTAAAACAGTGATCCAAGCAATGCTGTGGCTGTCCTTTCTCAGTGCCTGGTGACTGTAGGGATCTAGATGAGGGATAACAGGCTTTAACTGAATTCTGGCAAGATGACGTGGATGGGGGTGCTGGGGTCCTCAGGATCTGGTTATTTATCATCTTTAGTTCTGGATGGGGATGCACTACCCCAGACGTACCCAGTACACAATCTGGGGTACTCCTGGACTCGCGATTCCTGCTCAAAGAGCAAATGGTGGTCGTGGCTAGGAGGGCCTTTGCACAGTTTCATGTTGTGCCCTTATCTGGATCGTGAGGTCTTGCACATGATCACTCATGCCCTAGTCATCTCTTGGTTGAATTACTGCAATGCACTATATATGGGCTACCCTTGAAGTGTATCTGGAAGCTACAGGTGATACAGAATGAAGGGCACACACAGTTCTGGGCCCCTATAGTGTCACATAATAACACGGCTGTTTTACGAACAGCATTGGATGCCATTTTGTTTCTGGGTCCAGTTCAAGCTGTCGGTTATTACCTTTAAAGCCCTATAGGGTATGGATCCAGGGTATCTGAGGAGCCATCTCACCTCAATTTAGATTAGTCTGCTCTGCTCGCAGCAGCAGAAGAGGCCTGCTGCAGACCTCATCTGCTAAGGAATTTTGGTGGGTGGGGTCAAGAAAGGCCTATTCCACTGTGATCCCAACTCTGTGGAACACTCTATCACCAGATGTGAGAATTGTTCCCATCCCTTTTGGCCTTCTTAGAATGGTATAGAAACTTGGTTTTGCCAGGGGAATAGTCAGCACTGGAGGTGGTTTATGAGGTAAAAAGACCTTATCCAAGTTTTTTGCCATCCATGCTCTTGGTTCTGTTTTTTGCTTAGCTTTAAAGTTTTAATGGACATAGCTTTAGATTTTTAACTTCTTTTATACTTATCTTTTTATGTTCTGCAAACTGTATGTCTTACTTGTTTTAACCCCATTTAGTGATAGAAAGCTAATATTTAAGGATATGTCATATTTTGTTTCTGATTGCAGGAACTGCTTGATTCCAGTGAGAGGTTAAAGGCACAAACCAAAGAACTGAAAGATGCACATAGCCAACGGAAATTGGCCATGCAGGAATTCTCTGAGATGAATGAACGACTTACGGAATTGCATTCACAAAAACAGAAGCTTACCCGCCATGTTAGAGATAAAGAAGAAGAAATGGAAGTGGTAATGCAAAAGGCAGAAAGCTTGAGACAAGAATTACGTAGAACAGACAGAATAAAGAAAGAAGTAAGTTTAATCTGTCCATCCATCCATCTATCTAATTTTTAAAGCACCAAAAATCACCCCAGATTTACTTTAGGGATAGTGTTACACAAGAAAGTTCACGTAAATTTAAATTCGTGTGTTTGTCTTTTAGTTAATTAAACAATGGTAATTGATAAATAACAGACTCTGCAATTCATTTTAATCTTCTAAATATACTTATTGATATCATCTTTATGATAGAATTATATATGCAGATGAATCCAGAGGTTTCTGGTGCATTAGTAAGGAAAAGCAATGCTAAAATGAATGTTTATGATTTTAAAATTATATTTGTAGCTGGAAGTTCATGCTGAAGCTGCAGCTGCTGAGGCATCCAAGGACAGGAAGCTGCGTGAGAGAAGTGAGCAATATTCTAAGCAGCTGGAAAATGAATTAGAAGGACTAAAGGTTAGTCTTTATTGATTTCACCATTTTAAAGCGTGTGAGTGCCTTTGTCTGATGTAGGGGTAGGAGACTTGCAAGTTATTATCATTTACAACAGCTTATTTTGAATGACTTTAAATGGAAGGCATACTAAAATGTATATAAATCAATCATTGAGGAATGAGGACTCTGGTAAGGAAATAATTCTGAAACAATGATCCAAGGAGTCATGAAACCCCCCCTCCCAGCAGAATGATAATGATCTGGTTTGTAAAGTATTTCTGTGCATCCATCTACTTTGCAGTGGTCTATTTTCTATTGTTAATGTTGGAAGAATAGATAATTAAGTTCATAATTTGTTAAGCATTTATCAAAGAGGAAGCTCAGTTGAGGAACAAAAGCAATCCAGTGAAATGCAATTTATTAAATTTTATTTTAAAATCAGTGTCAACCAATTTCATTTTCCTTTTTTTCACCTCCTAGGATGAATTATTCCTATTTTATACTGTATGCCAGAATTTTCCAGATCATAAAAGCTAATTCTGAAATGTCCCTTTTTTGTAGCAGAAACAAATTGGTTGGTCTCCAGGGGTGAGCAGCACAGAACATCAGCAGGAAATAACAAAATTAAAAGCTGACTTGGAAAAGAAAATTGTTTTTTATGAAGAAGAACTGTCTAAACGAGAAGTAATACATTCTAATGAATTAAAAAATCTGAAGAAGGAATTTCGCGATGCAGAGATCCAACAACTTGCTCTCAAAAAAGAAATTCTGATATTGAAAGACAAATTAGAAAAGACAAGGAGAGAAAGGTATGACTATTCATGTACAATTCCTCTGTTCTTGGATATTTTTATGATTTTAAAAAAGTTGATACAGCTGCAGATATTTACATTTGGATACCCAAATAATATTCTATCCTAAAGTAACAAATTAATGTGTTTTAGCCTTTGTAACAATTTCCTAAAATTATTAGGAAATGAATAAAAAGATTTGTTAGATTCAGTATGACCTGGCAGGAGATATGTAAAGATTGTATCTTAAATGTGTTGGATCTTTGCAACTATATTTATACAATAAGTATGTCTTTACATACCGTATTTTTCGGAGTATAAGATACACCTTTTCCTCCCCTAAAAGGGATGAAAATTTGGGTGCGTCTTATACACCGAATGTAGTCCTGCCCATCCATTGGCCCCCACCCTTTGGCCTCTGCCTTGCAGCAGTTACCTCCTTGCAAGCAACAGCAAGAAAAAACAGCTCCTTTCAGCTTCAGCACAGCCTAATTAGCACAAGTTGATTGGATCAACCTCCCGACTCTCAGCAGATTTGCTCTCAGCTGTTTTGCGCAGGGCTCTGCTATTTGCTGCAAAGAGATAAATTGCTGGAGCAGATTTTTTTTTTCCTTGTGCTAATCAAGCTATGCTGAAAACGAAAATGAAAGTAAAGCAGGCTGTTTGCTGTTTGCTGCAACGAGGCAGAATTTCTCAGAATCAAAGGCAGAGGGAGATTTCTTTTTCTTCTTTTTCTCACCAAAAAAGGTAGGTGCGTCTTATACTCCAGTGCGTTTTATACTCTGAAAAATACGGTAGCTCTTTCAAACTGTTTTACTTAAAAGATGAAGATGAAGAATAATAATGCACAATGACGGTAAATTACTTTGAAAGAGGGGTTTACATATGCACTTCATTCGCTGTCCTATATAGTTTGTATGTATCTACCTCTGATTTTGGTTGAATTCAGAGTGTGTGTTTTTTATAAATAAAGGTCTGTCTCTTTCCTTAGTAGGTTATGGTAAAATGGAGAAACTGTGTTGGCTGAATGAAGGAGATAATCCCTTTTTTTGTTTAAAGATTCTCCTGCACACTTGCATGCTCCAGTCAATAGGGCAACTCTCTGAGTGAAAGTGGTGATGTGAGCAGATGGTATTGGCAGAATAGAGTGGGCAACTATGTTTATTTATTTATCCATATCATTGATAAGTCAACTCTGGGCAGCTAACGAACAGTAGAAAAATAAATACAAAAACAAAATTTTAAAAACTATATAAAAACCTAGAACCAAGGAGATGGATGGCACAGGGATGAGAACTTCCACTTACCCCATCAACCACCTCCAGTGGTATGTGCCCCCCTCAGAGTCCCAAGCCAATTTGCAAAAGCAATTGTTTATACACTTCCAGAAGACCAAGAGGGGGAAGCAGTTCTCACCTATGGTAGTAGAATAATCCATAGGGCCAGGGCCACAGTGGAAAAGGCTCCTCTCCTTGTCCTCCGCTGGATTTCCTGAGAGAGGGTCTGTAGCAGGGCACTTCTGCTAGAGCAAGTGAGGTGAACTAGTCCCATTGGGGTCAGACAGCTCCTCCGATACCCTGGACCCATATCACATATAGGGCTTTATCATATTCTCCTCTTTTTTGCTCAACTGGAAGATTCTGAGCAGAAGTCCATTCTGATAATTATTTTTCTAGCAAAAACAAAATTTGTTCCAATTATATGAATGTAGTCTTTATACATGTAAATATTGCTAGCAGTTTCTTTTGTAGTAGATTTTATTAAAAATTGACATGAGTAAATATATTTTTGATTGATGGTATCTATTCAAAGAAACAGGACTTGGGCTACAAAATGTACTTTATTATTTAAAGCACATTTAGATTATTGAATTAGAAGGGAACGTTTAGGACACCTACTCCACGGACGAACCTGTATTAAATAATTCCTAACTGTCTGGCCTTCACTTAAACACATCCAGAAAGGTAGCATTTGATTCCACTGCTGAATTACTCTTCTTGACAGAATATAATTTCCTACTATTTGAACTAGAATCTCTGCTCCTATAATTAATTTATATCTTGTAGAATAGAGACATGGTTTTGATTTTCTGTGCAACATTCTTTGAAATAAATTGAATCCAATTTTAATAGTCTTTATTCAAGATGAAATAGCACTCATTATAATTCTCAATAACTGCTCTAGTTTTTCTGAATCTTTCCTAGAATGTATTGCACATTTTTGGACACAGAATTTAATGTGGGGTTCTTCGCAACAAAATTTGACTTGTAAGAGAGGTTTTACACCCAGCTGTAGTAGAGCTAAACTGGATCTATTTATAAGTTGCTATTGTACCACATGGGATGCTATTGGATCATGACTGCTAATTTTCGGATATCAGTTGTCCTGGATTTCAGCTGTGCAGGATAATTATATTATATAGTACCTGGTGCTTAATAAATCACTTCATTAAGCATTGAATACTGGAATGGTTGGCTCCAACCAAATTCTGTCCCTTGTGAATATTTCATGTTCTGTTTATCAAAGTTATAATTTTATAATTGATATTTTTATTTAGAAAAGAAATGCCTTGGCTTCTGTAAAGAGTAAAAAGGATGTTACATTAAAATAGTCAGGAAACACACTTGATAAAGTGACCAAAACAGATAATTTGTGAGAAATAAGCATCAAGTATTACTTCTGACAGTACAGATTAATTGAAATGAATAGTATTGGAATTTATTTTTCTATTTTTAAACATTAAATATAAATAAAAGCAAGTAAAGTTTATATCTCGATCTTGATAATGTTCTTGCAATGCATGTTATTTTAGCTTTATCTTTCTTCAGTTGTTTTTCTGTAGTTTATACTGATATCAAGACATGTACCAAAGAAGGACTTGCTTTGAGAGATATTCTTAAAATATCTAGCAAAAATGCTGTAAGGAGAAAACTGTTTAGTTTTTTAGAAAATAGGCAAAATGAAATATTTAATGGCTATTAAAGAAATGACCAAGACAACATTCTATTGTAAAAACTGTTTTTTAAAAATGACAACTCAAAAAGATATTTACCACATTGCTTTGTTGCATTTTGGTAAAATATCAGGAGTATATACTTAATTCCAAGTTTGTGATACTGAGAGTCTCATTGTGGGAACCCTTATTTAGCAGAACTATTCTAAACTAATTGTGCACAGTACAGCAACATGTCATTCCACTGCTCTGCTCTTTTATTTGTATCTTCTGCTATTTCCTAGACCAAAGGTGCTGAAATATAGAAGAAAATTGTATCAGGGTTGAAGCTTGAAAGCATATCTATGTGGTACCTAAAATTAATTTTCTTCTGTTACATTTGAACCACCAAATAATTTTGAATTCAGATTTTCCCTTGTACTATTCTGAACCAGTTCCATTTCTTTCTACTGTAGTGTAGAAAGCTTGTACTGTAGCGTCAGCTGTAGCATTCAACATCAGATCTCTAAATCTATCATCAGAGTTTACATGAAGTTCCGCATCACATCTTTTGCATATTGCAAAATAAAAGAATTTTTTAAAAAAATACTTCTAGAAAATCTGTGCTAAACACATATATCAAAATAAAGATGTAATCATATGCTTAATTTAAAGAATGTTGAACTGTTGTCTGAGAAGTTAGCCTTAAACCCCAGTCTGAGGCATAGCTGTGTGACCCATTATCCATCCCCCTGAGAGTTAATGCTTTAATCTTTGTTGGCTTTCCCCCAGAATGTTCATCATATGCATGGAATCTGTTAGTTGAAGAGAGGAGTGGATGGTGTTGGATTACAGATTCAGAGTTTGAACAGCAGTTATTAATATGCAACACTGTTGGAATGAAGTGTTGTGTTTCAAATGATGCCTAGCAACATGCCAATTCAGAACTGGTTCAGATATGTTGCGTTGTATTTCAGAGACTGGTTGAAAAAAAATAATTTGAAGGCAGGGTATTTTGTTCCCTTTCTCTACATTTTATTCTCATAGTTAAGCTGATAAACATTTCGGAGTATCTTTGGAGAACAGTTATAAATTCTGTCCTAGAGACAAGCATAATTATAGGGATTGTGATAGATTGAACGATCTTATTTTCTCAGCTATCTTTCCCTGTTGCCTTCAGTTCTTGCTGAGTAAAGGTATATAAAAATTAAAACTAATATAGCAGAGTTATAGCTAGTAAATAGCTATATAATAGGCAGGGACTAGAGGCAGGGGCTTTTTTGTCTCATTTAACAATGGAGTGGGAAGGGAAATCCACAACATTTCATCTTTGTTTCATGTACATAACTGAGGACTATTTATTATAGCAGAATTTCATTCTGCTTGTTTTATTTTAATGTAATACTTATGAAGGTTTTTTAAGGATTCATGGTTGTCATTATAAAACTCTAATATGCTTCATCTTCAAATAAAATTATACTAGATGGATACCCAAAATTGCAGGTGCAACAAAATGATGTCTACTTTATTCCAGAATTTGCCATAAAACGAGTTTAGTAATTTTTTGGGTTGTGTTCATCCATAGAAACTATGACATTTTTTTACCTTGTTTTATGGAGTAGAACCACAAAACAAGTTCAGACTAAACAATCTAATAAATTTTATTCCATAAAAAAATCAGCCTGAAAAACACAGTTATGGCTTGATATCAGTTATAACTATTATTGTATCTCAAGTTCAGATGCCAAATGGAATCACTTTCTGGATTGTAGGGGAAGTTGTCAGTTCAGCTTGAAATGTATATGGACACTTTTTATTCATAAACATTTGATATATGTGATTCATTTTTCCACAATAAAACAAAGCAAATTCTGTCAGGTAAAAGTTGAAAACAAGTAGTGATCTGAAGCTGTTTTTGTGATAAGGAAATGCAATCTACAGTATAGCTAACCTTTCCAAATATCACGTTATGATGTGAAAAATGCAAAAAGGACAATTTTCCCCTAAGTGAAATAGCTTCTGTAATTTTTCATTTGTGTATATTACCAACAATATAGTTGAAGTGCATTAAAAAGAAAAGTGACTTGTATCCCACTGTCTTCCCACTGTATTCTACCTCACTGATTTTTCTCTTTTCAAAAAGATCTTCCAATCATCCAGTAAAAAAATTTAGAAGCAGGGGACAGACAGTTCTCATTCCATTTTATAAATCTCAAAATTAACATTATTTATGCAGGTTGTTTAATACAAAACAGTTTGGAGACTGTTTTACAAGATTTTACGAGATATGTTGCTTCTCCTTCAACATACAGTTATTGTTCAGCTGAAACAGGAATGTAAGGAGATATGTTCACATTTCTTAGAAAAGTTTCTGTCCCTCTCATTTTTAAGTTTGTTCATGGCCTATAAAATGTTACTTATGCTGAAAATTAGGAATGTTCATATTAAAGAAGATTTCTTAATGATAACTGAGCATTTGGATGTTTGAGAAATTTTGTTATAACTAGACCAACTTTAAAAACCTAATGGGAATCTCTATGCATCAAGCTTTTCAGATTTTGAAACCATATATGGCAATTGTTTCTTTTGTACTGACTGGGATTTTGAAAATGCAGTGTTATAAAAATGAGTAAGCATATTGAATCAGAACACTTACTCTGAACTGTGACCGTTTGAATTCATAGACTATATATTATAATAATGAAGCTGAAGGAATGTCATCCAGAATATCCATGCATATATTCGCTCTGAAATTAAAGGGCTTTATTCAGTGAAACCTAGATATACTTTGGTTATAATGATGCATATTTCAAACAGTCCATAGGTTTAAGGCATTTATAAATTGGAACCACAAACATCTGCTAACTTAAATTCTAATATTATATGGTGCTAATATAGAGCATATTGTATGGAGTACTATATTCTTTTTGGTCTTGGTTTCTGTGGGATCTTAATATTTTTATGTATATTTTAAGTTGTGATAAAACATATATGAGGAAATCATACTTTATATATGATAACTGTGTTGCACATTTTACCATAGCCAAAATGAAAGGGAGGAGTTTGAAACAGAATTCAAACATAAATATGAACGGGAGAAGATTCTGCTGACTGAAGAGAACAAGAAGCTTTCCAATGAGCTTGACAAGGTGAGTGTTATATTGTTTAACATGCATTAATGTATTGAACAGAATTAGGTAAAGTTGATAATAGAACATATATATTTGTTTAGATTAATGTATATTGTCATCAATCTTGCTAAGCATAAATCTGGGTAGCTAACAAAAATTTTAAAAAATGCTACAAATAAATCAAAAAAATATAAAATAGTTGCCAAAGAAACAATGCCACCAAGAAATATAGACTCAACTAGTCTCTGGATACATATGCCAAGAAAAACAAACAGCTCTTAAGAGTTTACCAAAAGGCCAGCATAATCAGACAGCAAGTTTGGGTTGATCTAAACTTGGATAGTATGGTGTTCCAAGGGACAGATACTGTGACAAAAAAGCACACTTTTGGGGTCCCACTGGATGACATTTTCTACTCAATGGGACCTCCTGCCAGATTTGATGAAATTAGTAGAGTCAGTTGGAGAAAAGGCTTTATAAATAACAAACAACACCTTTAATTCTAAGCAGAAGTAAACTGGAGGTCAGTGAAGCAAAGAAATAATGTAGCAGGATGAGCTACCACATTCTGAACCTTTTGTAATTTCCACATGTTCTTCAAGGACAGCAGCATGTAGAACATATTTCAGTAATCAACTTAAGAGATAACCAAAACAGGAGTTATGGTATGCAGTGCCTCTTGCTCCAAGAAAGGTCACAAACGGTGCACAGCAGAAGATTATACAAATGCCCTCCTAGGCACATCTGCCACCTGATCCTCAAATAGGAGCAAGTGGTGTAGTAGTTTTGCCTACCTATCCAAAATTAAAGATGGAAAGTTGCCAGTTCCAGGTAGCCCTAAAATCCCAAATCACTTAGTCTTACTGAATGAGTTTAAGCCTGTTCTTGCTGAAGTAAATAAAAATATATTCAGCATTTGCCTAAATGTTTTTATTGTTACGGTGTTATTTTTACAGACAGTATATCAGCAGTGACACTTTGCAAAATTTCAGAGACTACAACTGTTTTTGCAGAAAGACAACTGAAAAATAAGAGTACATCATAAATATATGTAACATGTAAGAAACCTCCTGGGGGAATACATATGTGAATGTAATTAGTGCCTCATTTAGATTTTTTTCTATGCATGATAAGCTCAGAAGAAAACACTTTCCGATCACTATTGCAGAATCATAACTGTGATTATAATATTTTAAATATATATTTAGCTTACAGCAATGTATGAAAGACTAAGTATGAGTAACCGACAACTTGAAGAAGAGATGAGAGATCTTGCTGACAAAAAAGAATCTGTAGCACACTGGGAAGCCCAGATTACTGAGATCATCCAGTGGTAAGGACATTTTTCTGTTCGTGACTCATGCAGTAAGGTACATTATTTTTGCATAACAAAAAATAATTTTGCAGTTTTGTCATCTATTTTGAGCCTTCTGATAATCCCAACTCTATTTAAAAGAGCAAATCATGTCTGACAAAGTTCTTGACCTTTCAATAAGCCATACCTAAGAGAATTAATCACACTTGCATATATTTCATTACCTGTATTAGTTTCATGAATGAATATATAATAGAAGAAAAGAGTAGTTAAAAACCTTGACCTGTTATTGTCCCTAATACTAAAATATTTTAAGTGGATGAAACATGATAGAGACACTTGGTACTTTCGTTAAACAGAAACTAATAGGATTGAATACAAACTGATTTTCCACTAAAAATGCTTATATCAAAAAGACATCTTTCTGAGTGACAAAGCTAAGAGTGAAAAACAGGGATGAATTCAGAATTGTTCATGGAAAAATACTTTTGCTGTAATCTGTTGTCCCATTGTTTTATATTTAGGTCTAATTTTAACAATCTTTTCCACAAGCCATTTAACATTGATTAATGTTAACATGTTCTATCAGCCTAACATATTTTCATCTTGCTTGCTTTCATAGCAGCTGTGTAATTTATTTTTTATTAAAAATAGATAAACAGAGGTCTTTTAGAGAAGCATTTAGCTCATCTGCATTTTTATTTGTAATGTAACTTTGCTATCCTTATATAGAAATAGTTCTCTCTCTCTCTCTCTTTTATATGGCAGGACAATTTGTATCATTCTGAAAAACTTGGATTGGTCCAAGTAGGTTACTTGCATTGGTGAACTGACATAATTTAAATCTTAAGACCATGATCCATGTTTATTTTTACAGCCTGATTTATAAGTAAAAAAAAAAAAAATCAAAGCTACATAATTTGATTTTTTTTTTTGTCCTTTGCTATAAGTTTTGGTTACAAGAAAAAAAAATAAAACATTGATCTATAACATTGGCAGAAAAACTATATTTTACTCAGTCTCATTCAATCATTGGAAACATAATCTTATTGGTAAAGATACATCTGCTTTATAAAAAAGAAAATTGAAATATAATAGATACACCTTGATTATTAAAACTATTCAGAAGAAAAGGATAATGGGATTTCAGAACTCAGAACATAAAATTGTTTCCTCAAAACAACAGGCATTCCAGAATGGAGGAGACAGACTTGGATTTTGGAATGTTCCATTTCTCACATGTGGATTTTTCTTTGAGCCCAGGGGACCCAACTATTCAGTAGATTCATACTCTCAGAGAGTCCCAACATTAATTCTTCCCCAGCTAATTAATCAGCCATTAACTATGCAGCAAAGAATGGTTACATGTTAGCAGCAGGCTCTGAGAGGAGAGGCATTGGTATATTAAACCCAGGGATCTGATTGTTCCTTTCTTTTACTAGTAACAGTAGTAAATAGCAATATTGCCTTCATGATCATATATTTCCCTAAAAAGACAACTACATGCTACAACCATTTTTAATTATTCTTTTTATATGCCAATTTATATTAGTTGTTCTAGGGTTAATACAAACATTGCTTTGGATTGGAGGGGAAAGATGCATTTACTTGTTATCTGCTTTTAATAGCATTCCTGCATATGATATGGTTCTTTTGGATTCTTCAAATAAACCATTAAGCTTTAATTTTCTCTGGTGATTCTGCCTTATTCTTAAACCTTAAATTTACTTCTATAATCTTCATTCAGTTTGAGCAACCTTATTTTTCTCCTATGTTCAGCCTTACTAATAGCTTTCCTGATCCTTCTCCTCTTTTTAATATATTTTACTATTGCAAATACCCAGAAATAGGGGGGCGGGGAGCATGGTCTGCTCTGCTACTAAGAACATTTGCATATTTAATTCATAATATTTTTGTCTCTTCCAAAACAAAATCTCATTTTAATTCTACTATGCCACACTCCGATTCCGGACAAATCTACATTCTATGGACCCTTATTGTCAATCACTGTTGTTGTTATAATGATTTCCCTCCAAGTTGGTAACTTCAGTACGTTCACAACTCTAGTGTTGCTTTGACTTTTTCATTCAATTAAATGAAATTTTCTTCCAATGCGGTAGTCATAAAATAAGTAAAATACAGATAAGACAAGACAAAAAACCTTTCATATTAAAAATATATGTCATAGTAAAGTCATAATAGATTTTGCCTTATGCTATAAATAGTTAGAATCAAGTTGATGCAATTCTGTTATAAAATAGTGAAAAACTATAATTATAAAGATGCACATTTTCCCCTAATGTCAAAAATTATGTCACATATATTTACATATATTTTTGAATTTATCTGTCTTTATTTAGAAATAATGAGATCAATTACTGAAAACTAGTAGAAACAATCCAATAGTTATATTGAGCCAAGATTTCTGAATTCAAAGGGCTTTACATAAAACAATTTTATGTTATTTCACAATTTAATCACAATTTTAAAAAGTTGTGATTTCTTACCAACAGTTACTAAATATGTGCATATCTTGCATAAGGATGAGCATTAATTGGCCATCATACAATAATTCTGAACAATCGATTTAGTTGTAATATGGAATAAAATCACAATTATGCATCTGACAAAGACTGCTTCAGAATTGAACTGAAAAATGAAGAATGAATTTATGAAGAGAAAAATGTGTCCTTGATTAAGATAAAGATGTACATATGTAAGATGGTGCAGTTACATCTGTTCAAGGGAATGTATTTATTATCTTGACCGTAATTCTAGACATCTGTTTGCAAAACTCCATATGGAATTTTATTGATGATCAGATTCTATATAAAATTACCATATTGCAAGTTAGGATAATTCCATTTCTAATTCACATTATATTCATTGACTGGTTGCAAGCCAACTTTGAATCAGCCTACATTGAGGGCCACACATTGGATCTATTTTTGTGTTGGAGTAATTGATATATAATTTGAGAGTGTAAGACATTAACAACAATCCTTTATGATGGTGAGATTTCTATCTGATTATTCTGAATCTTGCAGCCACTCCTTAGCTCCATAATATGGGCACATCCACTATAGTGGTCTGCCCTAGCTGCTTTATGGATTTCATTGTTTCCAACAGGTGTTTGGAGAGTTTCCTAGCAGGCTGTTTGGCAATTCTGTGGAGAAAGTGGTTACGATCTAGAAAACCAAATTAGCTGCTTGATAGGATTGCTCCCAAATGACCTCTGTCAGAATGCCAAACCATTCTTGGTTTACTAGACCAGGTTCAGGCGTATATTGTGGCAGTAAGAACCATGTAGTAGCAATTGTTCTCCCTTGCGCTGCTTAGAGAGTCCATTGAATGGGATAATCCTCATGTGATTGGCCAGAGACTGAGTAAGAATTTGTTTAAACACACCTCCTCTTCCTGTCTAGCCCCAGTTCCTTACTCAGTCCAGCCTTTATAGACTTTCTTATTACTGGTGTGTGGTGAACAGGCATTGATCTCAACCTGATGGAATTGCTACTTTTCTACTCCCAAAGTAATGTCATACCTTGAGATTCAGCTAACAGAATAATTTCATAAACATGTTAATTGTGTTAAAATTTCACTGCTGCTTTACTCAACGTTTTTATTTTATTTTCCAATGTAATTATGTTCAAATACAGCCCTTAGCTTTTCTAAAGTTTTTAATCTGGTCATTGTTTGTTCAGGGTGAGTGATGAAAAAGATGCCCGAGGTTATCTTCAAGCGTTAGCTTCCAAAATGACCGAAGAACTAGAAGCATTGAAGAGCTCCAGCTTGGGTGCAAGGGCAACAGTAAGCTTTGCATTTTCTACATGATTCTGGTCCTAATAATTTGCTAAGCCATTAAATAAATGCTTACTGTAAGCTGTATCAACTGTTGTACTAGTTTAGAACCAGACACTTACATCCAGGCACTTAACTTCTTATTCACCATGTAGTTTTCTAATTCAGAAAAATCACTGACTGTCTATATCATTGTAAATTATGGCAAAGTATAGCTTGAAAATATTTGTAAACACAAGGTTTAGAGTTTTCTTTAAATTCTTTCTCCCAATTTTTTTTTAAACAACTGCACCTATAAGAGAACTCCATCTTGCTTGTGCCACTGTTTGTGTTGTTGTTGTTATTAAAATTGTATCCCTACCAAAAACTGTTATTTGTAAACTTCATAGGAACTATACATGGAAAACAACATGGAGAAAATATGTAAACTACCATTACAGTTCTGTTAGGTGTCCTCTTTGGTACTTTTTTTAATCCATGAAACTGTAATATGCCCTTAGCAGCCTCTGTAGAACAAGTACATAATTAATTAATTTTTTTTAAAAATCCACTAGATCAAGGGTCCCCAACTCCTGGTCCGTGGCCTGACACCGGCCCATGGCATGCCAGAAGCCAGGCTGCGGAAATAAGCAAAGAGCCATTCACAGGATGCAGGCAGCACACAAAACCACGCCCCTCCAGTCTGTGGAAAAAATTCTCTCCACAAGGCCCAAAAGGTTGGGGGCCACTGTACTAGAGAATAATTATTAAATAAATAATTATTAAATAAATTTGTGTGAGAGGATAAGAGTGACAGAATAATATTTTTCTCAGAAATCGATTTTTCTTCTCTCTGTAAACTAGTCTTTTAATACTCACTGTAGTCTTTGGCAGAAATGTTTAATATTTACTCTTTATTTATTACATTTACATGCCACCCGTCTCCCCAATAGGGAGACTATAATAGCCTAAGTATCTTGCCAGTGGAGCCATACTTTTATTACTTAGACTAAACAAGACCATGCTTTCAATGATTAAAGTGGAGTGGGAGATTGTTGGCTCCTTTCCCTTATACCCTTCTTGGAAAGCTCCAAAAAGCTCAAAAATCCTCCAGAGTCATGAAGGAGAAGTGGCCAAATAGCAAAGCAAACAAACTTCAACCTCCCTTTCCTTCCACTGGATTTTGGCCCATAATAAACAATAAGTATCATATCAAAAAAGGACAGCTCTAGATCCACCCCACTGTCTAAAAGTGATATTATAATGTTTGTTAAGAGTTTTAAATATTAAGGTTTCATTAGGAGACATATTAGCTAATAATATTTAAAAACATTGTCTTTGAAGGACATGCCTTGGAAGATGCGTCGCTTTGCAAAACTAGATATGTCTGCAAGGTTAGAGCTACAGTCAGCCCTTGATGCAGAAATACGAGCCAAGCAAGCCATTCAGGAAGAGTTAAATAAAGTTAAAGCTTGTAACATTGCAACAGAATGGTAAGATTTAATTATTCCTTTTAAGATTGTAAGGCAGCTTGTAATACTTTCTGTTGAGATTCATCCTGATAAATTTGACATTGTTTTTGGTTTTAGAAACTGAATATAATAGTTTGATGGCCTGCCATAAAAACCCCAATTTTCTGTGTATAATTTGCGATCTATTTGAAAATTGTTTCCTGAAGACAATTGAAAGACTTCAGCTGAAAATAAATACCTGTCATCTTTTACAACCTTAATAAGATTAACATACAATATTCTTTTGACATCCTATTAGAATACCTGATGAATTCTAAGAATTGCTTCCCAATTGTGGTCTTTCCGTCTCTTGTACTGAATTAGGAAATTCTTTATTCAGAATTCCTGTTTAGAAGTAGTTACTAGGAAACAATATAAAATCTTTCTTCCTTCCTTCCTTCCTTCCTTCCTTCCTTCCTTCCTTCCTTCCTTCTTTCCTTCCTTTCCTTCCTTCCTTTCATTCATTCATCCATTTATTTATTTATTTATTTATTTATTTATTTAGTAAGTAAGTAGGTAGGTAAGTAAGTAGGTAGGTAGGTAGGTAAGTAAGTAAGTAAGTAAATTATATGGCCATCCAACACAGTGATATTTCAGGAATTTATAGAAGTAAAATATCACATGTAAAACCTAATGAACCCCTACCATTTAAAACAAAAGAAATATTAGTTGTATTAGAAAGCAGTTGTAATGATAAGAGTTCTACATAGTTTTTTCTACAATAAATTATGCTAATAAATAAATATTCTTTGATGTTAGAATGCAGTTTGATAATACTGCTTTTATATGATGAAAAATTTCTACATAGAGTAAATCATTATACAGAACATAGTTTAAAATCTTGATTCATTAGAATGATATTTATATATGTTAAAAAATGTTAAAGTAAGCATGAAGTTCAAGAATAGGTATGTAAGTGTCCAGTGCAACCCATACTTAGAAAAAAAGGCAAAACTTATTTCACAGTGTAATAATTCAAATCCCAGTCTTTTGTATATGTGTCCTGACAAAACAAAAATACATAAGTCACATTTTGTCTTTTGGTCTTGTGCAACCCACTGGCAGGCATATAATGACTTTGATACCAGTGTACCACCTTGGCTTTTGCAAGGTTGCCAGCCATGTGCTTTATATTAAGTAGATTAATAATTTACAAATATGGTTCTGGGGCCCCAAAGATATCCTAAGAAGATAAAAGTATGAGTTTTTGCCACTTTGTTTTTCATATAAAAGTGCAAAGGAAAAAAAATTGCTAGGGTCAGTTGGTGGGTTAGAGACTGGGCATCTGGACAACTGGAGGTGTGCACTTGAAATCATTGAAATCATACTATAATCATCACAGCACATATATCTTCCCTCTATTCTGCCTGTTTGTTAGGAATTATGGAACTATCACAATCCAAATTGATAATTTTAAACTAATCATAAAATCATCTTGTTCCATCTTGCTTATAAAACAAAATCATGAATCAAACAGAAGTCATTATTTTCCTTTCAAGCTTACTTATTGAAATCAAATGCTTTTGTCCATTTTTATGTTATCTTTTGTTTAATAACGAGACTTAAGTGGGGTTTTCCTAATTGAAGGACGCTGCAATCAATTTTCAAATATAACCTCATCATGGTCCTTACTAACTTGGTGTCTCTTTCTTCTTTTTGTTTGTGTAAAGCAAATTACAGGAATCTGAAAAGAAGAACTCTGACCTGTTATCAGAAATAGACAGATTGAAAAAAGAGGCAGAAGAACTTCAGTCAGAAAAGGGTATGGGCGCTGACATCCAAATAAAGCTGACTGGTAGTGGGTACATCTTATCAAATCAGAATGTCCACTTACAGAGTGCTGACAGAATCTGTATTTTGAAGATTCTGACTCTTGAAGTGTCATCATAGCCCTGGCATGATAAGATGTACCCACACAGCTGTTACAAAATTAAAATTATCTTATGTACTCTTGGCATACTTGAAATACATTTTTTTCAGATCATGTTTTTGTTTGTGCATTTATAGTCACTGTATTAAGAACATGCATTGTTTTATCTTCTTAAGAGAAGGTGATTCTTAATTTATTCTTCAGTTGTCAAGTACTACTCAGACATCATGTATATAGAATAGAAAAGAATATACACTGCTCAAAAAATAAAGGGAACACAAGCAGAAGACATCCGAGATCTGAATGAATGAAATAGCCTTATTAAATACTTTGTTCGTTACATACAGTAGTTTTGTGTTCCCTTTAGTTGTTTGAGCAGTGTATAAACTACTGTATGTAAAGAACAAAGTATTTAATAAGGTATTTCATTCATTCAGATCTCAGATGTCTTCTGCTTGTGTTCCCTTTATTTTTTTGAGCAATATATATAAAATGCATAGTCTTTTGATCTTTGATCATTATAAGCCATGTGCTCAATTAAGACTTATGAGTTCTCTAAAGTAAACCTTTTACAGGAAGTTTAATCTATTGATAATTGCATTAATATAATTGAAAATGTTGGTTGATTTTACTAATTATTCTAAGGAAGAGAACTTCACATATACACACACACACCAGTATTTTCTTCATATGATGTCTCTTGGGAAGAAACAGCTAAGAAAGCAACTATAGAGCAGTATCTTAGAATGTGAGAAGGCCTGGAAATGGACCTCTATCTGTTTATAAAAATCATACATTTCAGTTTGTGAATGGACACTTAAGTGTACCTTATTCAAATGATCTTATTGTAAAACAAATTCACTCATCACAATTCAGGAGCAATATAGTATCAGGGATGAAGATTTAAAAGTACTATAGTGTTATATTAGCACTGATATGGCAAGGTGAAAGAGTAGATCTCGGCCAAATGCAAAGGATAGGATGCATACTGAGGATCGGATTCAGTTGTTGTTGGGTTTTTTTGTATTGGGTGATCATTGCTGGACAAAACGGATGTTACTAGTTTGTTTAGTTATTGCAAAACAATGTACATATCCCTGTTTACAGTAGTTGTTTCTTCAGAGATCTTATATGCTTGCATTCAAGGAGTCTTATATCAAAAAGTTTTAGTTCAGAGCCATATGCAGTTGAATTTTAATTTCTCTTTTGCATATACTATTCGCTGCTTCATTTTAATCCATGCAGTGTTTCTCTCTATCTCCTGAACCTGGCCCTCCAGGAGATGGGAGACAGAAATAGATAGATAGAAATAGATTAGCATTTACCGGTATTTCTGATTTCCAATAATTTAATAAACTGCATGTTAAAAAATCAGAAGAATTTTCTGACATTCATTCAGATTCCTTTCTTATTTAGTAAGTATCTTTAGCCAGTTCAACATACAATTTTAGAACAACCATAGAATTCCACATTTGTAAGTCAGATGTGTAGGAAAGTCAATTCTTCAGCTCATGTATTATAATAAATAACACCCGTTTCAACAGTATTTTCCATCTCTAATTTAAACGTGAAAAATCATCCCTTTTGATGCCTAATTCCACCTTTTTATTATTTTATACTTGATTTGGCATATGGATCTTACATTTGTAATTAAAGCCAGGAGACACCCTTCCCCCCAAATCACATTAAACAATTGCCTTACTGCCTAAACCTTTTTACTTTAATATTTCAGCATTACTCAAAGCATGCTTGCTGTTCTTCTATACATCAGGGTGATTTTATTTGGTTTATAGCAACCAATCCTACAGGATGCTTATTCTACATAAAAGAGACAAATGTCAAGTTTGCTTTGAACCTTCTGTGTTGAATACTTGATGTAAAGTTGCCAAATGTGAGCCACCAAAATTGGAGTTGCTGCTATTAAGTAGTCTTCCAGATTTGTGAAGCCCAGAACTGGTAGCCACAAACTCAAGTTGGTGACACCAGATGGTTTATGAGGCTTACAAATCTTATACTAATGTGTATCTTGTTGGACACATTTATCATACACAAATACTTGACTGTTTTAGTTGTATCAACCAGAAAAAATCAATACATGGTAGAAGCTTATTTGTTAAAAAAAAAATCTCATTGGGGCAGAATAAATGCTTTGGGATTGAATTCCAGTTGCTGCAAGAAGGATCAGATTAGTTTTAAGCAGAAAATAATAATTCAATAGTCTCTCTAATTTCCTTCTATACAGTAGATAAAAGTCTCCAGATTAAGGTTGACTCCTGATAGCTTTAGGGAATACTGATGCCATTTTTTTTTGGTAACAATACAAAAGTAGTTTTCCATTTCTTTTTTTCTGAGAAGTTTTTTAACTCTCAATCTAATCTGTAGTTTAGAGATTTCCTGATAGTGTGCTATTCAAATGCTAATCAGGCTTGTCCTTGTTTAGCTTCTAATATCAAACAAGGTCAGCTGGGTTATATTGAATAATAGCAGGATTTTTGCTGAAGTTTTTATAGAGGCACTCATTTTTTCAGCAACAAGCAAGTTTTTTAATCTCTTTCCTTTCTATTTTGAACACTGGGCATGAGGGAACACACTAATGGAACCTATACAGACTGGGGAACAGGGAACTTCTCAGTAAAAACTGAAAGGAAAAATTGCCTTAGATCATGGGTATTACTTACGTGTCGTAGAATGTAAAGAAAGTATGTGTTATTTACGTATTTATGCATTTATTTATTTGTTTGTTAGTTTATGACATTTCTGAACCGCCCATCTCCCTCAAAGAAGGACTCTGGATGACGTACAATCAAATCAATTGTGACATAATATTATAAGTCCAGTTTCTCATGTTTTAATTGGAGAGATCTTATGTAACAATCTTAAAGATTAAAGAGCTAGAAATATATGGGTTAACAAGACTGATTCTACAGACTTGAATCCAAGTCCTCCCAGAAAAAAAATTCCATAACATCTTTTGGGAACAATTTGATTTAAGCAGAAAGCAACAACTCAAGAACAGGAACAGGTAGATCAGTACGTGGATGATTGTTTTCTGTTGATTAAAATCATGCTGTTGTTTTCTAGGAGTGAAGCATCAAGACTCACAAAATTCTTTCTTGGCATTTTTGAATGCACCTACCTCTGCTCTGGATCAGTTTGAAGTAAGTAATTCGATTTATTTCTTAATATTTTGATGTTACAAAAGGATGAAGTTTATGGTCACTACTGCTTTGAAATCATAACTATAGTTATTATGTTGCCAAAAAATCAAAATATTTTGATTCATAAGGAATATTATTTACTTCTTTTATCATTTTCTAGTTGTAAAAAGGAGAAGGAGAATGTTAAAAGTATTAGTATGATGCTTTTAATGCAGATTTCCTAAGATGTATTTCAAATATTATGACAGAAGAGCTTTCTTTTTTTTTGCCATTTTTTTAAAGTCTTGAAACTTAACCCTATAATGAAAAATCCGTAATATTTTCAGAACTAGAATTAGTCCTCTGCTAACAACCATTCTTTCAATGACTGAGGTTGAATGAGTAGTATGAAATGGACACTTGGCAACTGGCTCACACTCATGACAGTTACTAAGTTCCATGGTCATCTGATCCCCATTTGTGACCTTCTTTGTGGTTTCTCACAAACAAAGTCAATAGGGAAGTTGACATGGAAGGTCACAAGTTGCTTCGATAAGTCTCCCACACCTGACAGTAGTCACCTGAAGCCTTGCGGTGCTTGCACCAAGCCACACCAGGCCATTGTGCACCCTGGGATGCCCTTTCCCACCTATCCTTACTTATCTCTGGATACAGTTTCATTCATGGACATAATATAACAAAGTTATTAAATATTTCTGAAGTAGAGAATAGAATGAGTCGCATATTATGGAACTAGGACAGAGATGGATTGTAGCCTTCAAGGGGGAGAAAGATGATGATGGTAGGAAGGTGAGGCCTAAGGAAAAGGTACTTGGAAGCATGAATTCACTGATGAAGCAAGTTGATATTAATGTATTATCTATCAATATATTTACTGTTTGACAGTCATTAGTTTTGATATTAAAACATGGTATGACAAAATCGTGACAATAAATTTTACATTCCCATTACAGGTAATCCTCAATTTACAACTGGTCATTTAAGGATTATTCAGAGTTATGATGGTCTTGGAACAGATGTTTTACAACCTGTAAAGCACTTCCAGTTGTCATAAAGTGTCACGGGCCCCCATAGTTATATGACTGCGTTTGGGGCACTTGGCAGCCACCTTGACTTTGCCACCAGTTTCTAGCAAAAACTGCAGTTCACTTAATGACCACAGTTAAGTTCACTTAATGACCATCACAGAAATGGCAAAAATATGGGTCCAGTCACCTGATTGCCATGACTTACAAGCAGATTTCCAGTCCCAGTTGTGATTGTAAGTCGAGGACTACCTATAATGCTTATTTTGTTATCTGGTAAATGCATGGCCCCTTGATCTATTTTTAGTGTGGGTGAAAGAATATTCATTATTTGTGGATTACAGTTAGTTAACAAAACTATGCAGAAGTTATGCTAAACAAAATAATATGTTAGTCATTTCCAGTTTTTCTTTATTTGATTTCTCAATAGTATGGTGATGCGGTTGTTTTCACAAAACAGACATTTTCATCTATCTATTTCTGTTTCTTTACTGCTGTATGCATTAAAATAGGATTCCTTTTCTTCTTCATCTTCTTCTTCATTGATTGATTTTATGGATGACGTAAGTCTTTCATCTCCAAATCCACAAATTATTCAGTAATAAAACAGATTTGATTTGGCAACTTCAGATGGTAATGCAGTCATCTTAAACCATCAAGAGCATGAAATTCAGCAGGTTCTGTGCTCCTGATGTGTCCGTGCTGTATAGTTTTCAGTATAAGTTTTCATGGCATGGGCTAAAAGTTTTGCATATGTGTCTTTTCATTTGCTATTTGAAGGAACTGAGATGCAAGACATGACTTGTTTCAAGGGACCATTCACACTCATTCTGGCCTATTATTGATATTGCTTGGTCAAAACTATACCATTAAAATTGGCTTCTACAATTCTGTTTTTACTTTAGCTTGGGATGAGTGTGAATATATGTTTCATTCACATGCATGTCACTTTCTTGAGATTTTTTTTTCCTGGTCAGTTTAAACTCATACACCAGTGACATTTTTTTTAGCAAGTATATGTGGAATAATTATGTCAGTTTTATTGTAGATAAGTACAAAATGTAGTGCTGTAGTGCTCCTATTTACAGTAACATTTTTCAATATGACTGTCCTCACTGTAAAGACACTGGAGGATACTGTTCACCATTTTTGAGCTTGGATTACAATTTCTGCATCATGCAGAAAATGTTCCAATATATTCAAAATAATTTAACAAATATGCCATCACATTCTCAAAACAAAGGTCATACAATCCAGATTTTCAGGAGATTGTAGGATTGGTTTAAACAAGACAAGTTTCTGATGGAATTGACTGAATAATGATTAGGTTCTTTCATATTAATGCTTCTGAAAACCTTTAATTCTAAAATAGGTTGCTTTCAGTAGCTGGAAAATAGTATGCATCCTTAAGAAGCATAGGTGCTTTGTATGAATAAATCAATGGCTTTGTGTAATAATAGTAATGCTAGCCTTCAGTTTGCAGCAATAGCTTACCACAAAAGAATATATTTCAGATTTAAAATAGCTTTTGTGGTATATAAATACGGGTTTAAAAATTTATAAGCACATTTGTCAAAGTATTCAGATTACAAAACTGACATCATAACCTACAAGTGTCTTTTTTTCAAATAGCCTGTGTCTTTAATTGATAATAGCTGTGATTAATATATTTATTCCTAGTCATACAGTCATGTTTATAAACTTTTATATAATATATCTAATGGTGACCTTTGTATAGTATTTAGTCTGAAAGCTTAAAAGTGATCTAATGCCACTCAATGAATCACATTGCTGAATAGAAATTGAACTTGGGTCTCATTCCCACTTTAAAAACTCTTAGCCTGCTTATCAAAAGCAAAGCAATACTGGAACAAAAATAGGATATATTTTGTGGGTTTTTTTAAATAATTAATCTATGGGAATGTTAAATATTTATGTTAAATGGTCAGATTTTCTTGGAAAAAATTGTTGCCTTTCCTTCTAAGCTTTTGGGCCAGTAATTGGAAGATCTGCACACTTAATACACCAACCATCTTTTTTCCCTATTTAGGCAAGTAAAAATGGAAGAAAGAAGCAGAAAGGATCTAAGGCTTACTGAGATCCTTATGCTCCTTTGAAATTTTTACCCAGCCTGTGGGCCTTGTGAAAGACAGTAACAGAGTATTGTCTTAATATTGTCTTGTTTATAGCATTAGAAGTCCCAACATGCTTAACAAATTTGAATGCTGATAGCTAACTTATCTTCTGTTTTTAAAATAATTTCTTCTAATATTAGATCATGTCTCCCCTATTTCTGTAAAATAGAAATAGCTTTGTCAAAATAAACTTCCTTGGTAGCTAAATTCTAAGTCTAAGCAACTTGTGTCCCACAACTCAGTGTAGTTTATTATCTATGTGTTGTTGTCCACAGAACAGGACTAAATTTTCAAGTTTTACTGATCACCTGGACATTGTTGATTGCTTAGCAAGTCAAAATACTTCTGTTAAAAGGCTGTTATATGGCTTCAATCCTGCTCTAAAGATTCCTTATTTGTTTACCATAGTCAGAGTTGAATGGCTATTTAGGACTTCCAGGTTTATTGAGATTCATGGTTATGTTGCCTATAAAACTATATTGCCCAGGCACCTGAATTGGCATGGAACTGGAAAGAACCTGGTTCTTGATATTGACAGAAAAACCTTTTTTGCCACCACCACCCCAAAAAAAACCTGGAGTACTTTAGGCAAAGCAAAAAACATTTTATTAAGGCGGGGGTATCAAATCTTTATATAAGGTTCAGAAACAAATGGTACATACATTCAATATATGTGATGCATCAGAAAGCAACAGATTAAACAAAACCCATTGGTAAGATGTAAAAAAGGACTGATCCCCTTAAAATATGTCGTATCACCTTCTTTTCCACCTGTTTTGTTTCTTCAATACTTGCAACACCTCAGCGACTTCAGAATATCTTTTTGCACATCAAAGGAAATTGCTTTGGCTTAAAGAAATAACATGGTTTCTTAAACTTCAAAAAGAGGTACAGATGCCATGCCAAAATGCTAATACAGGTAGTCCTCGACTTACAACCATTTATTTAGTGACCGTTTGAAGTTACACTGAAAAAAGTTATTTACAAGCAGTCCTCATATTTACATCCATCGCAGCATCTCTATAGTCAAATGATCAAAATTTGGGCACTTGACATGTATTTATGATTGTTGCAGTGTCCCAGAGTCAAATGATTGCCATTTTGCAACTTGTCCAGCCAGGTTCTGACAAACATAGTTAATATTGAAAGCCAGATTAATTTAACCGCCATATGATTCATTTAATACTGTAATTGCATGAATCATTTTACAAACATGGCAAAAATAGTAGTAAAATCAGGCATGACTCAACAATCCCCTTGCTTAGCATTGGCAATTGTGGTCCGAAATGTAATAGTAACTTGAGGACTACCTGTATCACCTCTATTAAAGGGCTAATAATAATAATTCTGTGTAAAGTTATATTACCTTACATAAGGTCTGAAAGACCAGATAATAAATAAACATTGTTTCTTGCACTTGTAATAAAACTTTTAAGATCTAATGTGACTCTTAATGCGTTGCTGTATTTAATTTTTTTTTTAAGTGTAAAGTAGTATTAGCAAAGATAAGAAATTATGATTCAGACTCCCAAAGGTCCTTTTTCAAGCGGTAACTAGACTTTCTGGTTTTTCTTTGAAGGTGTTTCACTTCTCATCCAAGAAGTTTCTTTAGCTCTGACCATCCCCCCACCATCTCCCCACCATCCACTCAGAGCTGAAGAAGCTTCTTGGATGAGAAGTGAACCATCTTCAAAGAAAAAACAGACAGTCCAGTTGCCCTTTGAAAAAGCACCTTTGGGACAACCATGACTGAGAATCTCCATAGACATATGACTGAGACTGTAGCAAACAAAAAAGAAAAAAAAATATTTTCCCCCACTGCAGTCCTTAAAGAAGCTGCCATTTTCCTTTGAGAAATCTCCATTGGCAGCCGTGAACAGACATTCATCATGGGATGCAGTACGGAAAGTCTGCTGCAATCCCAGTACAGTAACGATCAACCTGTATTCCTGATAATATTTGCATTTTTTTAAAAAGCAGAAGAGCATTTAATAAGAAATTATTTCATCTAAAATAGAATTTTGTTTAGACACGTGATGTTTTAAAAATGATATTTGAAAGTAGTTGTTTCTTGTGTCTTGATGTTTCTTCTGATTTATGTTTTCATGATACACAAATCCCTGTCTTTACAATGCAAAATGCTATCAGTCTCTGTACAGAAATGTGGATTGAAGGAATGTATCTTTCCCATGTTAACAGTCTCCTCCTTTCTCTGTTAAAGCGCTCTCCCTCCTGTATTCCAGCCCACAAAGGCAGACGTGTAAGAGGATGTCTTGTTGTGTGTTGGCTTTTAGTTTGTCATATCATGGACATGGCTTTGCCTTCGTTTAATGTAGACCATTTTCCTTGATATTTTTACGGCTTGCATATTTACCCTGCTGCTTGTCTTGTGCTACTGCTTTTCTTATATTTTCCTTCTGTTTAATACTGTTTATTAAGTGCAAAGCTTTGAGAATGTGTGTGTGGTTTTATTCTGTTTTATGCTCTTGGCTTTAGGATGTCACAAAAACAAAGCAAAATTAGTGTAAAATCCACCTGTTTGTTAAGGTGATGGGGAGCAATTTTTAAATAATGTTTTTTACAGATTTTTTTTTACAAATGAGATAAATACGTTTCATATACAATTACAATACTATGCTTCAATCTTAAACTTATTAGAGTACAAAGATTTAGCAAAACAGAAATCTGCCTTCCTAATCCATGTCATCATCAAATTATGAGCAGGATTATCAATTCTGTCAAGTTAGTTTGGTTGACATTAAAAAGAATACCAAAGTCTTGGCAAGAACCCATTTGTTTAATGTGATTAGTATTATCAGTCTGAGAACATTTCATAGTATGGTTTTATAGTATGGTTATTGGTTTGGCAATTTATGCTTAGTCTAATGCACTGAATATTCTCTCTCTTTTCTTCTCTCCCCCCCCCCTCACACACACACGCATGGACACGGACACACACAACAGACATGCACACAGAAAGAGAGAGAGAGAGGGAGAACAATCTGCAAATTAGCTTCTAAGCATTCAGAGATATGTCTGTGTTTAAATGCATGTATGTATTAGGCTATGCAAAGTATTCTTGTTGCAAAACATGTTAATGCAAGGAAAATAACGTCATAATATTAAAACAGCCACAAAAAGTATTTTAGAAGGCTTGCACAGCTGCCTTGAAGGCTATCTTTGTTCTCTATGCTTATCTATGCATGCACAACCACTTCATCTTGGTGGTGGGTCCTGTTTTTAATATTGGCTGTGCTTGCATACAACTGACATTCCTTAAAGAAGTTGCACCAAGCTCTCTAAAGGGCATGGTTGCTTTAATGTTTCAAGGAAGGTTGCTTTGCTTAGGTTATAATGCTTTGTGATTCAACATGGCAAACATACCTAATACTCCTGCCTCGTATTTTTCCCACCACAACAAATTCTTTCAAATACATGCTACAAATTAGCTGCGTACACGCACATACATGGACGCCCTTATGCTGTGTTCCATATTGAGCAAGCACCGGCTATTCGGTGTTCTCAGACTGAGTTATACTAATTATCTATATCATGGAAAGATGGAATATGTGTTTCAGACTAGATTTTGTGGACAGACTTTCCTAAAACCTACCTTCACCTGTGTGAAGAACAGAAGTTTGCAATTAACTTACATGACAAACACAAACTATGTATTCTTCTAGTCATTTCTATTTCCCTTCTGGTTTGGGTTTTTTTTTTTAATGGAAGAAATAAAAATAGCAAAAAGGGGGTGTTACCTCTGCTACCTCTGTGTGTGTCTCATAATATTTTATTTCCTACATTCTTTGTCTGATATAATAATACCCAGGACAGATGGAAAAGATTATTGATCCCAAGTGAGGTTTTCAATAAGTAAAAGAAATAAAATTGTCCCTGATGTTCAGAGAGAGATAATTTTATATTTAATAACAGTGGAATCAAAGTATAGAAAAGAATTTCTGCTAATAATTTCTGCAGTGCTTGAAATAGTTTATATGCAAGTAGCAAATAATTATATTGACGATCATATGTCATTGATTATAGTCTCTGCAGGTTGAAATGGTATGAACATTTTATAAATAAAGATGTCAGTTAAATAATGCTACGTCTATATTTTAAAAGAAGTGCTGAGCTGCATTCTGAATTTCAGTTACTGTTTGCTTTATGTTAGGATTTGCAATAAATAAGTGAACAGTCAAGCATTATGTTCAACAAAATAAAAGAACACAAATTGATCACTCAATCTGTTCTCTACTTATGGTTTATTCAAGTGGCACACACAAACATACATATACCTTACACATACGCAAATGTACACAAAGATTTATATGTACATGCATATAAGGAAGATTCTTAGATATATTTTATCTGCTCTTTTTGTGTTTTCAGAACAACAAATCATGCTCTAACATTTTTCTTAAACTTAAAAGTAGTCTGCTTTCTACAATATCATTTTATGAATCCTATTCAGTACAAAATAATATGCATAGATAATGTAGGTTTAAATCAAAGTACATTACTCGACTATTTTATGTTGAAAAATAGAATTTTTGACTGACAATCCTAAATAATGACACTAAACTAGAGAGAAAAAAAGGGAGATTAGCTAGCTGGAAACCAACAATTTACCAAACAGAGATCTTCCAAAAAGGTTGTTTTTTCTTAAAAGATATTTTAATTAAACCAAAATTACAGTGTTTTGGCAGTGTAGGAAAATAATGAAAATATATCCTGTACACCATTCTGCTTGGTTCTGTTAAAAGAAACAAAAGAAAATTTGTATCTGTGATTTAAATATTACTTTTTACATACTGATAAAAATACATTTGAAAACATAGACTAAGATGTCACTGTCATCTTTAGAAATTTATCCTTTATTAGAACAAACCTGATCAGTGTTATTTTATATTGATAAATTGGGCTAAGATCATTTTTTAAACTATGTTTAAAATGATTTATTTGCTAATTAATTAGTATCATGATACTGCTGTGTAGTGTGACTATTTATTATTAATCTTTCTAATATGTCTTATTGTATGAAATTACAATTACCATACAAAAGAAGCTTTTAAAATGTTGTTTCAGATTATAAAAGAATCAAAATTGTGGAGTCCTTAGTAGTTGTTTGTTTCCAGATGTTTCATTATTCCCCAACAAATCAAAATCTATCAAGCTTATTTCTTATAATTGCTATATAAAAGAACACCAGAGGCCTACAAGTGTAACCATAGCTTTAATTTTATATAAATTGATTTCATTATAACTGTTGAGAAATAAATGCTGAGAGTAGATTTCATTGAGCTTCATTTACATTCATTTACATCAATGCAATATAAGAGGAATTGTTGTTATGCTGATATTGATATCACAGTTATTCAAATTTTCCAAACTACAGCTATGTTCACCACTTTAAGTTGACCAAATATTTATATATAATAAAAGGTGGGATAAACTAATAATGATTACCTTCCTTGTTTAAAAAAATTGTAGTGTAATTCTTCTACATTTCTGTGTCACAGCAAGTAGAGACATCTACTCAACATAATATTTGAATCACTAGGAAATCTCAAGTTTGTAGGGTAGATGGCAATGTGTGGAATCATCTTGAAAAAGGGAATGGTAAAGGATTCTATATTGTTTCCCACAATCTCTGTAAATCAGGAGCCAAACTTTATTAAAGGAGACTACATTTATGTTATTTGCATTTCTATATTTTTGAAAACTGGTACTTATCGAATGTGGCTTCTTAATATTCTTCCCCCCTTTTTTTTCTTTTCCTTTCATTTTCCATTTCTTTTCTTTTGCTTGTTTCTTTCCCTTGGTTGTTTCTCTAGATTGATTCAGTTGAAAATTTTACCTTATCTAATACGCCTTCGCGGGATGAAGATATCAAGTATCATCTTCATTCAAGATCTAGGTCCCCTTCCACAGCTAGTGACATTGAACCAATTGAGGTACTCTCTCTTAGAACATTTGTTTAAGAATTGTCTGTCCCATAGCTCAGTGTCAAAGCAACTGTGCAAATGTACTGTGGAGTAAGCTCAGTTGAATTAAGTGGGAATTATATTAACAAATAAAGGTTATATATTCATAATATGGTGACCATAACATTTTATCCTGGTGATTTAACTCATCCCAATGGATATTTTTAAAATAATGGTTGGTCACATATTATATTATTTATTTGTTATGGCCATACAATCCAGCAGACTTTGGGTGACTTACAAAAAGAAAAGAAAAGAAAAACTCCCAAAACTTAAATACATCCTGCCTGGACTAAATATTAATAATAATAAGAAGAAGAAACCAACAATAATAACATCATAACAAGCCCATTAAGCTCAGGTCTGGGACCAAAACCCAGATCTCAAGAGTTTTCCAGAATCTTAGAAAAGAGCTTGCCATTTCTATCACTTTTAATACATGAATTAGAATATTTTGGTCAGTCACTCCTTTAGAGCAAAGAAATTTTTTCTTTATGATTCTTTTTTTATTAGCATATACAGAAACTGTGGCCATTATGGAGAGAGCAGAGAGAACTTACCCACTCTCACCTGTTTCTGCCTGTTTCGCACACTCCTTCTAGCTAGAAAAAGAGTTAAAATTATAATGCCCAGAGATTATTAATTTTTTGTAGCTTTTCTAGGATTTCATAATGATCATGGAAATCAAAAAGGGCATTCAGGTAAGTAGTTCAGATATCATGTGGAAAGTTAGTTGACTATGGGAATTAACCTGAGGATGAATTGGTTTGGACATTTAACTAGATTTACCGTAGTTGTTCACATGACATCCGATTAACCCAATGAGCCAATTAAGCATATTGGGTAAACAGAGGCCTAAAGTCTCACTGTCTTTACATAGTATATCTATTAAAAGAAGATTATTCCAATGATTTTACGAGTTTTTCAAGTCAGTCAAGCACATAAACATGCTGTGTTTTTGGAAGATTTATTTCTGTTTCATATGGAAAACAGATGGCCAAAGATAGATATAACAGTGTTTTGCTGTTTGCTTTGCATCTGAATACCTATATTAATGGAATTCAGTGGTTCCTGAAAACAGTTCTATGTCTGAGCACTAGTTCATATGAGAGGTATTTTACATACATAGGACTCAAGCATACTATATGTATATGCACAGACAAACTCACACTCAGTGACATACTTTAAATAGTACTGAATAAACAGAAAAGTGAGACATAAAAGTAATAAATAAATACTGTATTTTTCAGCGTATAAGACGCTCTGGACTATAAGACGCACTTCCTTTTTTGGGAGGAAAACAAGATATACAGTAGTTTAGTTTAGTTTAGTTTAGTTTGAATTTGTATACCGCCCTTCTCCCTGAGGACTCAGGGCGGTGAACAGCAAAGTAAAAACGTCAAGTACAAATATTAAAATACAATTAAAAAGATAAATATAAATTTGGCCCCATTAATTAAAAACGATAAACAAACAATTAAAAACACTTAAAAAATTAGGCCAGCCCGGCTTGCTGGAAAAAGAAGGTTTTAAGGGCACGGCGGAAGGCACCGAGGTCTTGGATTCTCCTTATCTCTGGGGGCAGCTGATTCCAGAGGGTAGATGCCCCCACAGAGAAGGCCCTCCCCCTGGGGGTCACCAGTCTACATTGTTTGGCTGATGGCACCCCGAGGAGGCCCTCTCTGTGGGAGCGCACAGGTCGATGGGAGGCCGTCGGTAGCAGCAGGCGGTCTCGAAGATAACTAGGTCCTATGCCATGGAGCGCTTTAAAGGTGATAACCCACCTTGAAGCGCACCCGGAAGACCACTGGGAGCCAGTGCAGCTCACGCAGGAGTGGTGTTATATGGGAGCGCCATGCAGCTCCCGTGACTACCCGCGCGGCCGCATTCTGGACCAGTTGGAGCCTCCAGGTGCCCTTCAAGGGGAGCCCCATGTAGAGAGCGTTGCAGTAGTCCAGGCAAGAGGTGATGAGGACATCACTTCAAGGGCATCGTTGGGGTGGCCTGGGGTGGAGATGTACAGCTGGGTGTCATCAGCGTACTGGTGGTACTTCACCCCAAAGCCACGGATGATCTCACCCAGCAGCTTCACATAAATGTTGAACAGGAGGGGCGAGAGGACCGACCCCTGAGGCACTCCACATATAAGAGGCCTCGAGGTCGACCTCTGCCCCCCTGTGCATGGATATGGGAAATAATATGGAATTTTACCAGTTTGGAACTGTTTTAAGTTTTTTTCTTTGCATAGATTGATATTGTAATCAGAATCAGTAAGTTATTCAGCACACAATCTGTTAGATGTAAAGCTTCCCCCCCCCCCTCTTTATTTTCCTTCAGGTTTCATTTTAATTAAGTTAGTGAAATGCTTTTTAAATTCCAGCTAATTGTTGATTCTAGACAGAAATTTTACAACAAAAGGACACAAAGAAGAAAATAAGACCATAAAACACTCATAATAACTGCCTCTGCCTCCCAGATTGCCTCGTTGCAGCAAACAGCCTGCTTTAGTTTCATTTTCATTTTCAGATCAAGAAAAAAAAAATCTGCCTCCCAGCAATTTGCCTGCTTGCAGCAAGCAGCGAAGGCCTGCGTGGCAATAGGGAATGTCAATCCCTGCAGCCTGAAACTGCTGAGGGTCGGGAGGCCAATCCAACGACAATCAACTGCTTGTGCTGAAGCTGAAATGGGCTGTTTTGCTGTTTGTTGCTTGCTGCAAGGAGGTAAATTGCTGGGAGACAGAGGCCAAAGGGTGGGAACCGGTGGGTGAGTTATACTACATTCGGCATATAATATGCACCCAAATTTTCACCCTCTTTTAGGGGGGAAAAAGTGTGTCTTATACTCTGAAAAATACGGTATATAAAATCATATGTAAATTATCCCTTGGAGTATGGGAGCAAGATAAAACATATTCACATACACATAATTTCTAACATGTAGTTATATTGTCCATTATAGAAAGCAAATTGCCCATACAGAAAGCAAATACAGGGACAAAATAATACAGTACATTGCTGCTGCTACTTTCAGATATCACTTGTATCTAGAGTGAAGCAGTATTTCTTCTATTATTCTTCAGCAAGCTACTGATTCCATTAGTCCTTTGCCAAGGAACTTAGTTTTGTAATGTTCCTTGTGGAATTCCTTCTGAGATTCGGTGTCATCTTCTGTGATGTGTTAGAAGCCTGTCGGTCAGGCTGTATCAAGCCAAGATTTTAAATATATGCTAACATCTTCACTGTGGAGCAAATTTTTTTGTGAAAATGACAAAAGTTTCAAAAATAGTTTATGATATGGCGTAGATGGTAGAATATATATCCACATTTCTAATTAAAATAACAATTTATTTCATTAGCTTACTAGAAGCACCATGTAGTTGTCTCCTGATGGAGGATTGTTTTGTTACTTTTTGGATGGAAGCGCTGATCTTCAGAATATTTCTTGGACTTTTCACAGAAAACCTAATTTTATAGTTCACATGTCACATTAAATACTCTTTCTTTCTTTCTTGCATGGTTTGATGTTCAAATGTTACCAAAGTATTCAAAACTGGAATACTTCTTGTATCTTTATACTGAAATTATATGCATGATTGCTTTTACGTTAATCTAAATCATTGTTTTTAAATTATTGTTTCACAGTTGACAGGGTTTGCAATGTTAAGCTCTTTAGCTATTCTATGCTATAGTTCCAGAGGTTATTGTCCATTTATAGCCATCTCCCATGGTTGGTATACCAACCATGCTATATAGCTGGTTTCTTTCCTATTTATTTATTTTAATAAATATTTTAAAAGAATAGAATAAAAAAGCAGTAAAAGTAAGAAAAATGAAAAAATAGAAAATAAATTTACATGCAAGATTAAATAAAAATGAAACTCTTATTAGTTTTATTAACTTAAATTAGTGCTGCATATTTAAGTCTTCAGAACATTATTTGTCATGTCAATATTCAATAATTAAAAACAATATCCAGTGTAATATGAATAATAAATTAAAAATCATTCTGATTTATGATTTTACATAAATTAGCCGGGTAACCACATGCTATCACAATTACCTGTTAAAAAGAGAAGGATAGTTACAAAAGAATGTAACTTTTCATCATGGCACATTAATATTGACCATGAGCTTGTCAACAGATACTCAAGCATATTTTTTTTTCATGTATATATTATATTACATTATATGTACTATACTATATTACATTATAATATTTTAATTACTTAACACTCATTTTTTCATCATGATAAATTAAGCAGTTTATAACAACGATAGTGCTTCAGAAAAGTTTGTGTTCCTATGACAATATTTTTATTTAATAAAATTAAAATGAAGCGTTACCAAAGTGTTACTTGCACATGCTACTGACCTATATAATTTTATTAAACTCCTTGGCTACACTTATAAGAACATTTATCACACAGTTCTACCATATAAACACCTTTATTTAATAACTGCCTGAACTAGTAGATGTATGATCCAGTATTGGTACAGAGGTAATCAGCTAAACATCAGCTTAATGGACAGTTAAACTGAGTGTGTGTGTTAGATAATTAACAAAACTGTGCAAATGTTGGAAAAAGCACTTCACTGTGCATATTACTACAAATGAAACATCTCTTCTCAAAAAATTAAAACAACTGTATGGTTGGAATGGTCAGCATGACTGCCTGAAAAGCTTTTTTGGGTCTCCGCATGCATGTTGCATGGACAGCTGTGTTGCTTTGCTGGCAGCCCCAGGGCAAGTGCTGTTTGATTAACAAAACATTTTTATTATATGCACATCCAAAAGAATAATCCTCAGAGTCACTATGTGAATGCTTTATGCCATTTCCCCCTCCATAGAGAATCAGTTTGCAGTGGTGGTTAAGGTGCTGGCTTAGAAACCAAGAGACTTTGGGTTTTAGTCTTGCCTTAGGCATGAAAAAATGCTGGGTAACTTTCGGCCAGTCACTCCCTCTCAGCCCAACTCATTTCACAGGGTAGTTATTGTGGAGAAAAGAGGAGGAAGGAAGAGTTCTTCACCTTGAGTTGTATATTAGCAATAGCAATAGCACTTAGACTTATATACCGCTTCATAGTGCTTTTACAGCCCTCTCTAAGCGGTTTACAGAGTCAGCATATTGCAATCTGGTTCCTCATTTTACCGACCTCGGAAGGATGGAAGGCTGAGTCAACCTTGAATATTTAAAAAAAGTATATGAATAATATAATAATAATAACTGTTACCAATAATTGTGTATTTATGTGTCTATGAGTATTTGAAGCTTTTCCAGTAAACCAATTTCTTAAAATACATTTACTTTGAGGCAGTCAGTTTAGTTTTGTTAAAGGCTGTAAAGCATTTAAGTATTTTGCAAGTGAGAAAAATCTGAATATGTTACCCAAAGTAAATGCTTGTTTTTTTAAAAAAAGCTATATGCGTATTTCAAATTCTTGTGTACTTTTTGCACCAGTTTGCTTATATCAACACCATTTAACAGGGGGGAGGGTGTTGGGGCGGTTAATATTAATGTAAATTAATGTTCACCATATATGTGCTCAGGTTTCAGATCATCCTCTGCGTCCAGTTCACACACCAACCATGAGATCACCATATAGTGGTTCAGGACTCTCTGTGCCAAAGGTATTCAATCAAATATGATGATTAGAAGCTAAAAACTTAGCCTATTCTTATACAGGTAGTCCTTAACTGATGACCACAGCTGAACTTGGAATATTGGTCATAAATCATTGCGGTCGTAAGTTGAGTCCATATGACTGGACTTGATGTTTCAACCATTTTTACGACAGTCATTAAGCAAATCAGCACAGTTTTAAGTAAATCATTAAGCGAATTGTGTGGTTGTAATTCCGAATCCAGCTTATCCAACGGAACTTTTTGCCAGAAAATAGCAAAAGCTATTGTAAAAATATGAGCATGTGACACACAGGATGCTGCAACCAGTTGTAAAAACAAACCAGTTGCCAAGCACTCAAAATATGACTCGATGGCCTTGGAGGCGATGTGGCAGTCATAACTTTGAGGACATAACTTTTTCAAGTCAGTCATAATTTTGAACTTTCAGTAAGTGACCAGTTATAAGTCAAGGACTACCTGTATCTACTTTATTGATCCTCTATCATTTACTTATGAATAAGGATGCTGTTGTTAGTATCAGTAAGAACTAAACCCGCTTTGAAAGAAACAATTCTATATGTTATAAGTGTTCAAATATTTAAAAAGGTCAAATCCAATTTAGACAACATTTATTTCCTTATGCCAAATTTGAAAAGATTTGCTGTGTGCTGGACTAAATGTAATGAAAGGAAACAGACAATGGTGAGCTGCTGCCAGTTTGGACAGGTTCAGGCAAACCGGTAGTTCCAATTAGCAGCTGGGCCCACCCACCCGTCCTGGCGCTATCACATCCTATATAATCGCCGGTTGTTCAATGCCGCGCTCATGCTCACATTTTCGGTTCCGGGTGAACCAATTGTTACAGTATGTGATGCCCACTTCTGGAAAAAGATTATATACTTCTTTTGTCACATGTCCGTGATTTCTACTTCATTACAGAAATATAGTAATCATTCTCTAGTAGGTCAATATTACAAGGAGCAAAATGCTTTACTGATCATCAAATGTTCTTGAAAGCTAAAGGAAAACCCCCACACTTGTTTCTGCATAGTTTAATAATAAATATTCTACCAATGAGTTTTCTGGTACATTAGATATTAATGTACTTTGCTGTGAAAAAAAGAAATTTAAAACATAAGGTAACTGTTTTACCTGTTCCTTTTTTGGATAGCGATCCACTGATTTTGAACATTTATTCGATTTTTTTAGATTGTTCCTATAAAATACATAAGATGTAAAACTATTATAAAGTTACATACCTAACTTAATAGAGAATGATGATTCTGTTCTCTGAATGGAACTGATTATGAATAAAGTATAAGGTATAGGAATAGCTTAAAATTATGAAACTGAAAAATAAACTCTAACTAAACTATATAATTTAACAATGATTTTTTTATTATCAAAGCGCTTGTCACCTAATCATATTTCTATTTGTTTTACAGCCTAAGGCCCATCAGTTTGTAGTAAAATCCTTTAATACCCCTACCAAATGCAATCAGTGCACATCATTGATGGTTGGGTTAATAAGACAGGGCTGTACCTGTGAAGGTAAGGTCTGGCATCTGCTTGTTTTTACAAAGGATTATATTTATTATATGATAGTAATTACATGTTAATGCCATTTTGCCACTTGTGGCAAAAAAAAGTGAACAGCTCACTGTTTTAACTACCTTTTGAAGATTCAGGGACAAATTTCCCTAGCTTAATATAATACACTATAGTTGAATATGTCATAATGCTATTTTAGATTGGCGATAGCAATAGGTGGTGCTGAGACAACCAGTGATCACATTGTATGGTCCTTGGTTCTGGTAATGAAATATTTTTTTAAAGTACCATGAAAAATCTGAGCATCTGTTTCGTTGGCTTCAGTATTGAGACTGTTTTATGGTTTCAGAACCTTGTCTAAAACAAGGCTTTTCAGTAAATGAAAGCTGGGTCAGCATAGAGAAATTAAATGAAATTGGAGAAAGGACTTTAACTTCCCCTGTGTAGCAATCTCAGTTTTACTGAAACCATTATAAGCTTGGAGAATATGATTATATGTATGAAGATGCATATGTTTATAGGACAATAATGTTTATCACCCTGCTTAGGACTCCTAGAAATTTCAGTTACTACAACATAAGTGAGATGGTGGGCTATCCATTTTATCAAACAGAACAAAATATTTTTATAATGAACTTTTCTTTATGGATGTTCATTGTAGCTCAAGAAAGTACAGCTAAGTGTCATATGGAAGATATATATGAAGCAACATCTGATTCTGTTAAAAAGTAATTTTTTGAACAAAAATTCAGTATCTCAGATGAATTAAACAATTAGTTTTATATTCATTTCTTATCCAAATTTGTAAATTGCCCTTTATAAATTAGCAATTTAAATGTCGCAGAAGTATAAACCTTCATCAGAACATATATATTTGGAATTTCTGTGAAATGGCTCATTTTGGTTTATATAGGACTATGGTTTTAATAGCCCAGAAGGTATTAATGCAGTGAACATACATGTTTATCTATAGCAAAACTGAAATGGAAGTTTACAGTGACATACATTTACTGCATAACATATAGTAGACACATAGTTCCATTGGCCAAGAAAAATTGACAAGGGTGTTTGTTCTTATTAACTGATTTTCATATTATTAAAATAATCATTGCACAATCAACAAGGATTGATATACATTTTCATTACAAATACTGTCTTTCCTCCCAGTCTGTGGATTTTCATGCCATGTGACCTGTGCAGACAAAGCACCAGCAGTATGTCCCATCCCACCTGAACAGACAAAAGGTCCTCTAGGGATTGATCCACAGAAAGGAATAGGAACTGCTTATGAAGGGCATGTCCGAGTAAGTCTAAGAAAACCTGTGCTGTTTTTTGTTTACTATTGATATTCATTTTGTGTGTGTGTGTGTGTGTGTGTGTGTGTGTGTGTGTGTATCTGAAATGAGAATTTCTTATCATTTTTACAACAAACGTGTATGTAGTGTGAATGTGTGTGTGTGTATACATACAATATGTATGTGTACACACACACACAGTTAACCCCAAAATGTCTCCTACTGTTTCAGAGAAAAAACTAGGAATTGGTAGTTTTCAGGGTACTTCCATACTGTCACTGGTATTGCAATTTTGTACCACTGTGCTAATGTCTATCCTGTTGTACTCCGTTATCCTATGAAGGTGGCCAGTGCTCCCTCCATCTGGCCAAGGATTAATCTCCTGTTATATTTGCTTTACTCCATGGGAGAAAAGGAAATAAATAAAAAAGATTACACTGTGTGGTTACTGAAGATGTTGCCTTCCAGAGTGACTGGAGAGGACATGAATTATGGCACAACTCCAAAGTGCCTTAGCTGCAGAACAGAATAAGAAATCCCAAGAAATGGGACAAACTAGGGACTCTTGCCAGTGGGAACCACCTGCCTTATACTTCCAGAAGAAATGCTACAACATTTTCACTGCAGCAATACTGCTAGAATTCAAGCTGAGTTGTAGTTCATTTATTCAAGACCCATTTATTTTATTTTATTTATTTTATTTTATTTTTCAATTTATATACCGCCCTTCTCCCTGAGGACTCAGGGCGGTGCACAGCCAGAATTAAAAACATGAAATACAAATATTAAAAACAATTAAAATCTATATAAATTTGGCCCAAAATTTAAAAAACCACAAACCAATTAAACATTTAAAAATTTTAAAAAATTTCTTCCTAAACCAGCCCGGCTTGCTGGAAAAAGTGGGTTTTAAGGGCACGGCGGAAGGCACTGAGGTCTTGGATTCTCCTTATTGCTTTGTGGGAAGTCGGAACTAGCATTGATCTCAGATCAATGCAATTTTGCATGTAGAAGAGGCATCAGCTTCTTCACTGCTCTATTTGAAGGAAGACATGACCATTAAGTCAACTTATTTTTATAGTATTAATGTATATCTCATTGACTTGGTGAATGGTTTCTTGTATAAATGTTGAAAGTACATTTTGCATATTACGCTTAGATGTTAAGATTGTTTTCCTGTTTTGATTTTTTGCATTTAATTAAATTAATGTGGTTAAATTTATTTTAGATCCCTAAGCCAGCTGGAGTGAAGAAAGGCTGGCAGAGAGCCCTGGCTGTTGTTTGTGACTTCAAACTCTTCCTTTATGATATAGCAGAAGGGAAAGCATCCCAACCCAGTGTGGTAGTTAGTCAGGTTCTTGATATGAGGTAGGAATGGCATGCTTTAATTTAATACCCAAGGCAGCAAGTGCTTCTCTTTTGAATCTCTGCTGGTATGAATAACATAAAAGTTGACCATTTTCCTACAGCCTATCCCTTTCTGATCAGGTGTACATTGAAGAACATCAGCAATAGCTGTGGTACAGTAGTGGGTTTCAATTTAGTTTGCTACCAGTTAACTCATGCGCATGCGCGGACTCACACACATGACACATGGGCAGAAGCAGGTGGACGGAGCCTCCCGCCACTACTGGTTTGCCCAATCCGGGGTGAACTGATAGCAACCCACCACTGCTGTGGTATAGTATAGAAATATTATTGAGCTTTAAATATGGTGGAAAACTATGGAACTAGAAGCTGAAGTTTTAAAATGATAGCAACTGTTGCTTCAGGTAAAGAATCATCTCTCTCTTTAAATGGATTTATTATTAGTGTATATTCACAATTGGTCAGTAGGACTTCTTTTTAAACATTTGCTAATTACACCTAGATAAAGTGGTGTTTAAAAGTTTGTGAACTTTTTTGAAATTTCAGTATCTCTACATAAATATGACCTAAACTGTGATCTATTCTCCACACAAATCCAAAAACTAGAAAAAGAGAAGCCAATTAAACAAAATATTAGAGTTGTTCATTGGATTATTGTGGAAAATGATCCCAAACTGCATATCTATGTTTGGGGAAGAATGTAAACCTTTGCTTTTAGTAACTGATGTGAAAGCCTTGGGCAGCAACTAAACATTTTTGATAACTGTTAATCAATAGAAGAGAATGTACTGTATGTAGCTCAGGGCTGAACTGTGGAATCGTTAATGCTCTTTGAACTTAATTGTTTGTTTTCAGATGGTTTATTTCCCAGCTAGCTAACTGGTGTGCACTGAATCAGTGCATTATTAGTGCATTAACATCTGGAAGCAAACAAGCAACCTCAGAGAGCACCATAGACCCCATAAGTGTTGATCAGCCCTGCGTATTTGTTTGGAGCAGTGGTGAAATCTAAAATTTGTTACTACCAATTCTGTGGGCGTGGCTTGGTGGGGGGGTAATGTGACTGGCTGGGCATGGCCAATTTTTTTTTTAACTTTTAAAACCATTTTTTCTACAACCTCTTCTGATGATCCCAGCTGAGTTGCCTGATCGGCAGACGCTTTTTTTCTTTTAAAAAAGAAAGAGGCCAAAGAGGTTGTAGAAAAAATGGTTTTAAAAGAAAAAAAGCCTCTGCCGATCAGGCAACTCAACTTGAATCATCAGAGGCATTTAAAAGAAAAAAAGCGTCTGCTGATCAGGCAACTTAGCTTGGATCGTCAGAGGCTTTTAAAAGCATTTTTTCTAAAACCTCTGAAAAGGTTGTAGAAAAATGCTTTTAAAAGCCTTTGACGATCCCAGCTGAGTCCCACGATCATCAGAGGCTTTTTTTTTTACTTTTAAAAGCATTTTTTTTGGCCGAAGAGGTTGTAGAAAAAATGCTTTTAAAAATTAAAAAAATAAGCCTCTGATGATTGCGTGGCTCAGCTGGCATGGGGTGGGGGGCAGGGATTTTTGCTACCGGTTCTCCGAATCACCCGCCTCCATCGCTACTGGATCGGACAATCCGGTCTGAACCAGGAGCATTTCACCCCTGGTTGGGAGACACTTTAGCCAATAACTGCCTCCTGAGGTCCTTCTACAACATTTCTACAGAATTAAAGTCAGGAGTTGGACTTGGCCCTTACAAAACATTAAATTTCTTCTGCTTTAATCATTCTTTGTGTGTATGATTTGTATGTTTTAGATCATTTTGCTACATGACTCACTTTCTCTTGAACTTTAATTCATGGACAGATATTCTGATATTTTCCTGGCACAATTAAGAACTCATAGGTCCAATAATGACAAGTCATCCTGTCCAGAGGCAGCAAAACAGGCCCAAATCATGATATTGCCACTATCGTGATTTTTAGCTAGGATACGGTTCTTATGCTGGAATGCAGAGTTTGTCTTTCACCAAATGTAATGCTTTCAAGCCTTACATTTTTATTTTGATCTCATCTGTCCACAAAACATACTTCTAATATCTTTCTGGCTTATCCACATGATCTTTTGCAAATGTGTAGGGGGCAGCAATATTCTTTCAAAAAAGTAGTGACTTTCTCCTTGCAACCTTTCCAGTCATCCCATTGACTGAAACACCTGATTCTAATTTCCTCTTCAAATGAACTAATAATCCTAAAACCTAAAGATTCACATACTTTTGCCGCAACAAATATATCACTTTTGGATTTTTCTTTCTGCAATAAATGAATAAATTTTGTTTAATTGGGTTTTCTGCATCTATTTTTAGCTGGTGTGTAGAGAACAGATCATATTTTAGGTCATGGGCAGCTATAGAAATATGATGAATAAATAAATAAGAAATAAAGTTCTAAAGACTTAAATAAATTTTAGACTTAAGGAATTATAGAGTTGTTGCAAATAAAATTTCAGAGTAAGTGCTCAAATACCTTCAAGATAATAAAATGGATTGTGTAGTCTTCAGTGATGGGGATATACGTATAGCAATATTATTTTGAAAATCTCTTTTAAATGTAAATAAAAGTTTATCCGAGTTTTCTGTTGTGACACTTCGAGTAGAGCTATTACTTGATTTGTCTTTCACTCTTACATTTTGCCCCTTTATACCAATAGAAAAACAATTTGACAAATGGATAGCAAACATTTATATGAAGAAATTATTTGCTACTGATATTGAGTGAATGTAATGTACTTTTATGGTGAACTAAGTATAAAACATACAGCTCTATGTTGTGCTGATATGATTTTCTTCCAGAATAGAGGTTCTTAATTGAGGTCCATGAATTGCTTGGGGTCTGTGGATTGATTTCGGGGAGTCTGATCTTGGATCAGAAAAAAAAATACAATTTTATTTTCAGTAATTTCTAACTTGTCTTACTGAGTTAATGGATTAATAAAGAAGAATATATCTATGTTACATATTTATCATTTTGAATATTTTGATAACTGTATTTGAGCATAATCAATTTCTTTTATTAAAAAAATTATATCGTGTTTTTTATTTTATAATTTAGATACATTTTTCTGAGAAGTCCATAGCCTGACTCTCAAAGAGGTCCATTTCAGAGGGGTTAAGAAACTTGGCTCTAGAATGTGAATAATTACTGTTCAAATGTAATAATCTCTCACTAATATCTTTATAAAAGGGATGAAGAATTCTCGGTGTGTTCTGTTCTGGCTTCTGATGTCATCCATGCAAACCGAAAAGATATCCCCTGTATTTTTAGGGTAAGTAATACTCTATTACAGTTGCAACACAGGGTAGAAAATAAATTATTCTCCTTATATTCATTTTTTAAAAATTAATGAAAATTTCTCTATTTATTTATTTATGCAATTCATATGCCGCCCTTCTCCCGTAGAACTCAGGGCGGCTTACAAAAACGACACAGAATTACATAAACAGTTATTTGTTATTCAGTGTGGTTTTTGTGGATTCCTTTGAAATTTCATATTTTTATTTCAGCTTTCTATGATAAAATATAGGAATATCAACAAAGTCTGATTTTAATACTCCAGAAATGGTGCAATTAGCCTTCAGGGTTCTAAAAAATGCTATACAGGTAGTTCTCAAGATATGACAGTACATTTAACAAATGTTCACAGTTACGATAGACACTCCTAAACTGCATAAGACCCTTTTCATACTGCAGCACCCCTACCTCTCTACCCCCATCCCACTCCACCATTACTCCGCAGCTCCTCTCTTATCTATCACCCATTACACTTACTCTCTGAAGCTTTTTGGACCTCATGTTGGTGAAGAAAGGCAGGCCACCTTTCCCTGGGCTGCATGCAGGCAACTGTTGTTTTGTCTTGCTTGTGGACTGGGACAAAATGGCAGCCACCAGACAAACTGCTTTGTTTTGCTGCGTTAACAAGGTCTCCACGGTGCTGCAGAAGCTTCTGAATGCTGCATATAATTTCTGTAGTGCTATGCAGACCCTGTTTAGCATAATGAAGTAGTTTGTCCCTGGCTGCAGGGCTGAATATGGCTGCTATTTTGTCCTGCTCACTTGTGGACAGGGACAAAATGATAACTGCCAGAGAAACTGCTTCATTTTGCTGCCTTAATGAAGTCTGTACAGCACTGCAGAAGCTTCTGAATTCTGCAGAAAGCTTCCGCAGCACTGCAGACCTTCTTAAGGCAACAAAACAAAGCAGTTTGTCCCCAGCCCATGTGCCGGCAACTCAGATATGACTGCCATTTTATGGATAGGACAAAATGGTGGCCACTTCTGGAACTGCACCATGCAGCTGCACAAAGGAAGGCGTCAGAGCTCTTCAAAGGAGGAGGGTGTTTGGTCTGATGGGGTGGGAATTATGCCAAAGGCCTAAGGGGACCCTGTGGAAATAGAAAAAGTCTCTGGGGCCCCAGGGGGTAGAAAGCAGAGCACAGGCATCTCAGGAGGTGGGAGAGACCTGAGGGAGTGGGTCAAAGCAGGCAGGCCTCACCCTGTGCTATGCTTCCAAGGATCTGAGCACCCTGTTCTCCACTTAACGACCCAGGTGTTTGTTTAATGACTTATTAGGAAGAGCAGGCATGTGGAGGTTAGGTGATACGTTTCGCCTAACTACTATTGCGACATGCGACTGTAACAGGCAGGCTCCATTACCGTCATATCTCAAGAACTACCTATATACAAATTAATACTTATATTTTTAAAATTAGATTTTATTCATAATTTTATCCTGTCCATTTTGTCTTCATTACGATTCTTTTACAGAGAGAGATACTCATAGCTTCCTCACTGGGTGAATAATGATTTGAATTGGGGTCATTCACTATGCATTTTTTTAATGCCTCAATAGCTTTCATTGGTCTTTTGTAATTTATATTTGATGTGATTTCTTCATTTATTTACTACATAGATAGTTACATTGAGGGTATTTTTTGAATACATTGAATAAATTTATTTGAATAAATGTTGTTATTTATCAAAGAATCTCATTTTTTAGTTACACATATCTGTAACATTTCCAGGTTTCAGCTTCTCAGCTATTAGCATCAAGTAATAAGTGTTCAGTCCTGATCCTAGCTGACAGTGAAAATGAAAAGAGTAAATGGGTAGGAGTCTTAAATGAATTACACAGGATCTTAAAGAAGAACAAGCTCAAAGATCGCTCAGTCTACGCTCCCAAAGAAGCATATGATAGTACTTTACCCCTTATTAAAACTAGCCAAGCAGCAGCAATTATAGGTATGTATTTTTAAAAACATTTTATAAATTTCTTGCTTTAACTATGAAATTTTAATTCATATTTGGATTTTGAAGCGATGTACCCCCATTTGCCTGGAAGGGATTTGGCTCTGAGTTTAAGAAAAGGGAGAAAATTATAAACAGAAAAATAAAGTTAATCTAGAAGTACTAAATCCAGTGAAATCTGCCCCTCCCCCTAACAAATGTGATACACGCTCAATATGCACTCACACACACACATATAGATCTTCCACAAGTTTAGTTTTAAAAAGGACAGGCCAAGGACAAAAAAGTAAATCCATATTAATTGAATTAATAACAAATACAATGGTACCTTGGTACTCATCATTAATTGGTTCCGGAAGGCGCAATGAGTACCTAACATATTTTTACCGTATGGAATAATCTAGTGAGTCACAAGGCAGCCAACACCAACAAGTTCTAGTTTGCGCATTGAGTACCAAACAAGCAATGAGTATTGGGACAAAATTTTCACATCAAAATGAGCTGAGTACCAAATCTGCTGAGTAACAAAGCAGCTGAGTACCAGGATACCACTGTATTAAAATGGATTACCTGTAAAATATAATATCCCATTTTAAAACATGATTTCCCATCTATGTATATAAACCATGTTTTCTGTGCATTCAGACACACAGCCCTCCCTTCTTCCAGCAGGTACTGGGGGGGAAAAAGAATGGAGATGCACTGAGCAAAATATACAGTATTAGGAAGGGAAGCATAAGGGAAAATATAACTGTATGGATAAGAAAAACATGGAAGAAATATTTGACTAATGAAGAAAGAAAAGAAAGAAGCTCTTTTTAGGACTTTCAAAAATATTTAAATTCATCAAGCAGCATCCCCTCCAAAACACCTGGTAATCTTCAGAGACCTTTTTGCTCAGCAAATGTAAAATTATCCTCCACACATTTACAAATATTCAGAGAAAAAAATCTTGTGTTCTTGTCAGACAGGTATGATAATATAACCTCACAAGCCTTTGTATTAAATGTTTTGTAAAAAGGAAATAAAATAGAGAGTCCTCGACTTAGTTACATCACTGCAAAAAGTGACTTATGATCATTTCCCCACCAGCATCTTCATTTGGTCATGTGACCAAAATTTGGATGGTTAACAATTGGTTCATATTTATGACAGTTGCATTGTCCCTGGATCAAGTGAACAATCTTTGCAACCTTCTGACGAGCAGAGTTAATGGGGAAGCCAGATTCATTTAACAATCAGGTTATTAATGTAACAACTGCAATGATTCACTTAACAACTGTGGCAAGAAAAGTCGTAAAATGGGGCAAAACTCACTTAACAAATGTCTCACTCAGTAACATAAATTTTGGGCTCAATTATGGTCTTAAGTCGAGGACTATCTGAATAAGACTAATAAATAAATCTATGCATATCTTTTAGAATTAAATTAGGCTTGCTTCCAGGTAAATGGGCAACCTGATGCATTAGATTTCAATTCCTGTCAGTCCTAAACAAAGTGTCCAATAATAAACAAGCATTCGAGCTTATAATATTGGGGAGGTATCTGGTTACCAGTCCATATAGACTAAATGGCCAAGATAACATACCACCTATTGGAAAACTGGTAGTTTATGGACTGGAATAAAAATAAAGATGATGAGAGGTATTGTGAATTACAAAACTGTTTAATATGATAAAAAATGGAAAGCAAAATGGAAAATAATTTGAGTCAAATGAATTCTAAAATGTTTGGATATTGTATTTTTCTTTGATCTGTAAATGTGTACATTAGTTAAAATTGTGCATTAATTTTCTGTTAGTCATTTTTACCTTTCACCTATTTTGAATTTTGAACATTTATGTTGTTTAGTTATTACAAAAATCCCAAGAGAGTGGTTTTTTTTTTTCATTTAAAGGCAAAATGAAACAATAATGATATCATTACATTTAATATTAAATTGGTTTCAACTATTCTGGCATCTGATACTTGTTTTTCCTTACACAATGTGTATTTCAATTTTTTTTTCATTATTAACTGTTTCAGATCATGAACGAATAGCTTTGGGCAATGAAGAAGGGTTATTTGTTGTTCATGTTACAAAGGATGGTAAGAATATTAGATTTATATTGGAAAAGTGAAAATTCAAATAAGATATATTTTTTATTTCATTCAGTGTAGCCTAATAGTTAAGTTATTTGATTAACAGTAGGGAGGCTCAGATTCAAGTCCATCCTCAGCAAAGGAAACCTATTAGGTGACTTTGAGAAAGTAATTTCTGATTACTGATATTTTTGTGGTGGACATTCAGCAAATCCATTTTCCTCAGTAGGCATTTTTGCAGAAATTGACAAAAAACATTGCAAATTGCAGTCATGTGACCATGGGATGCTGCAAATGGCCATAAAGTTGCCAATCATTCCAAATGTAATTCCATCGTAACTTCAAAAACAAGGCATAAATACTCTGAAGATACCTGTCATAACTTCCAGCAGTCATTAAGGAAATGGTAATAAGTTGAGGACTACCTATACTTAAAAACTCTTCAGTCTGTGGTATGTCAGAAGATTGGAACATTAGTTTTGCCTTATTTATTCAGTATATATGGCGACCCATTTTCAAGCATATGGGCAGCTGACAAATATTATTGCTGTTGTTTTTTTTAATGAGGAATGGAATGGTGCTTAATATGAATGTTTCATTTCTAATTGTGTTTAATTATATCATCTAAAATAATTAAACACAACTAGAAATGAAATATTCAAAATGCATAGATAAAACCAAGTGTAACATATTCAGTTCTATAATAGCAGGCACACACTCTCTAAATATAATATGGTTTGGTTTGGCAGTGGATAGATGACATAATATAAATAGGTACTATATAGAACATGGGTGTCAAACTCAATTTCACTGAGAGGCGCATCAGGGTTGTGTTTCACAACGGGGGGGTGTGGCCAGCTCGGCGTCACTTGTATCAGGGGCACCTGTGGTGGCCTGAGTGCTCTGTCAGTGAAAACGGGCTCCCAATCTCTGTTTTCAGCTGGGATGGCCTCCTGCAACCCTCTGCCAGTGAAAACAGATCTCAGGAGGGGCTTGGTACAGGGTTGCAGGAGGCCATCTCAGCTGAAAACGGAGTTTGGGAGCCCGTTTTCACTGGCAGAGGCACTGCGGGCCAGTCCTTTGCTGTTTCTAGGGTGGCCTCGCAGGCCGGATCTAAGCACGCTGCGGGCCGGATCTGGCCCACGGGCCTTGAGTTTGACACTCCTGATATAGAACATAGAAACACAGCATCCACAAGGAAGGGAAGGGAGGCAGTGTAAAGAATGTAGAACTGACTTTGGGAAAAGAAGGTACAAACTTCTTTTTGAGGACACTTGAATAGACTCCTATTCAAAGTAATTACCCTGATAGAAAAAAAGTCACAGGCAAACTTTTGAAAATGCAAATGGGATACAATGATTCTTAGAAGAAATTATTAGTGGAAAAAAGCAGTTTAGAAAAGCAAGTTTATACTTTTTATTCCAGAAAAACCAAGATTTAATAAGCAAGATGAATACTATAACCTTGAGCACCCTCTTTATATTTCAAGACAATTTCTTGCAACCTTTTATTTTTTGCAGAGATAATTCGTGTTGGTGACAATAAGAAAGTTCATCAGATTGAGCTCATCCCAAATGAACAACTTATTGCAGTAATTTCGGGACGAAATCGTCATGTACGACTATTTCCTATGACAGCTCTGGATGGTCGAGAGATTGATTTTTATAAACTGGCAGAAACTAAAGGTTGCCAGACCATAGTTTCTGGACAAGTGCGCCATGGAGCCCTTACTTGCCTGTGTGTAGCAATGAAAAGACAGGTGCTGTGTTACGAGTTGAATCATAGCAAAACACGCCATAAAAAAATAAAAGAAATCCAAGTGGCTGCGAATGTCCAGTGGATGGCTATCTTTAGTGAACGGCTTTGTGTTGGCTACCCATCAGGATTCGTAAAGTACCCTTTGTATGGAGAAGGAAATCCACAGAGTTTGCTTCATCCAGATGATCACACACTGTCGTTCATTATACAGCAGCCAACTGATGCCATCTGTGCTGTTGAAATCTCAAATAAAGAATACCTGCTGTGTTTTAGCAGTGTAGGGATTTATGTGGACTGTCAGGGTCGAAGATCTAGACAACAAGAACTAATGTGGCCTGCAACTCCTTCTTCTTCTTGTAAGTTTCTGCCATTACGTTAATTAAGTAAAGGGCTGTTTTTCTTCGTGGCTTAATGGATGTTCACAGAATTTGAATAACACTGTATAATTAATCAGTTAATAACAAGTTGTAGGAGATGTGATACTGAAACATAAATAACTTTTTAACTATGTGCTATGATAATAATCCATTTGGTATAATATTGTGATGTTATAGCTCTATCCCCTCTCTCCTTCTTACCCATTATTTCCTCTTCATTTATTTTTTAGCACTAATATTATTTGGCAAACCATTATCACTTTCCTTCTAAAGAAGAATCATACATTTTGAAATAAGTCTTTGGTTTGGAGGCAACATGGGAACTATTATATATTGCTTCTAGAATTAATGGAAGGAAAGTCCTATTGATATAACTAACTATAGTTACCACAGTTGAAGCTCTCAGTATGGTTAGTGATAAAAGAGCATACTTAATAAATAGCCATTAGTAGTACGGGTGTTCTGCTAATAGGAAGTTGCTAGAAGTTGCGGTATTAAGTAATACTGCATTTCCTCAATTCTTAAAAAAATATTCATAACCTCAGAAAAACACCCCTTTACATATGTATGTTTGTATGTGTGCACATGCATGTGTGTGTGTATGTATGTGTATGTATATATTTCACATGTACATACAAACACTCCATTACTATTATGTCAGTCTACATCAGAAGAATTTGATTTGTTTTGTTAACTGCTCATTTCTGAATGATTACTGGTTATACATAATTTCAACGTCTTGGTAACTGAGGAAATATTGAACTAGCAAATATATGATTAATATTTAATACTGTTTTATTTCTCAGCTTCGTTAATGGTTTATTTTTTCCAAAGGCTTCATTTTAACCTTTAATGTGGCTATTCATATAATGTGAACATAGTGAGTGATAGTAGGGTTCTCATTGCTTATTTTCAAGAAATATTAAACAGATGGGTAAACACCAATAAAAAACTAGGCTTATTTTTAACTGTAGAAAATGTACTTCTAAATAAACTCCAAAAAATATATACTGAAAAGTGACTTCCTTACCTTCCAGTTTTCAACCCAATCCAACGTATGTTCATAAGGCATTATCCAGACATGTATCTGTGTTTCTTTCTAGGTTACAATGCACCATACCTCTCAGTTTACAGTGAAAATGCAGTTGATATATTTGATGTGAACTCAATGGAGTGGATTCAGACCATCCCCCTCAAGAAGGTAACTAATGAATTATACAGTAAATTAAACAGTTTGGATAGGTTGTTCATAATATAAATTAAAACACATATTGAGTTCCGTCTGAATTAAAATATTCTTCTGATAAACTAGAAAGGAGGACACCCACACATCTTTAGGTCTGCAATGGAAACTAATTAGGTATGAAGCAACTACTCACTGAAGCTGTTGTCAGAGTGCTGTCTTTGTTGCAATAAAAAGAAGGGAGATCTTTCAAGCACTTTGAATTTTTAGAGAAAAGACACTTTAAACAATACAATACATACATCCCTATTAAATGTTTTTAGCATTTCGTCAGAAGGAGTTTGGTACATTGTTTGCCTAATATTTTTTTATTAAAAGAATATTTTTTTGTGAGCTGCAGCTCACTTGATCAGTGATTAAACTGATGTAGGACTTCAGTTGGAGAAAGGAGGAGGTGAGAAAAGGAAGAGCAAACAAGTTGGTTGTGCAGATGCAGGTTAGAGACAGATTACAACTATTTTATCACTTAACAACTGTGATGTTTAAAACCCTACTGTTTTTAAACCCACCTACCAGAGTCCTCTTGAATTTTTGCCTCTGTGATATGTATGATTTATGAAAATTTATACTTCCACATTTTCTTCATATCTTTTTACCTTTTTTTTTTTTACCTTTTTAGGTACGTCCTTTGAACACAGAAGGGTCGCTAAATGTCCTAGGACTAGAAACTGTTAGATTAATCTATTTCAAAAATAAGATGGCAGGTAAGTAAAAAAAAGAAAGACTGCTATCTATATTGATTACTGTTCATTCAAGACACTAATAGAATGCTGATACACTGAATGCAATCCAAGTAGCTTTCTCCTCAGAAGCATTTCAACATTAAATTTGTAAATACTGCAATTCCCAAGGTTTTAAATATAATTGAGGAGAAACAATTGTGCTATCTAATCATGATAGGCTAAAAATATTTCAATTTTTCAATAGAAATATAGAATAAAAATATTTTCAAAATATTTCTATATTTTCAAATAGACTATCTTAGTCTATCTGAAGTAGGAACCAGTTACTCCATTTAGATGTCCCATATTTCTAGCACTTCAGCATAATTGAATTTTAAGTCTATTACAGGGAGTCCTTGATTTACGACTGTAATGGAGTCTGGAATTTCCATCATAAATCATGATGGTCATAAATCAAGCACTCAAGTGACCGGACATGATTTTATTATTATTTTTTTGCAGTAGTTGTCAAGCAAACATCACTATTGTTAAACAAATCAATGTATTCCTAACAATGTTTTGCCAGAAACTGGCAAAAACAAATTGCAGTCACATGACCATGTTACAGTTGGCCATAAAGGTGAGCCACTTGCCAAGAGCCCAAAATCCAATCATGTAACTGCAGGGGATTGTGCACCTGTCTGAACTCTGGAACCAGGTAATAAGTAGCTTATGGCAAGTCCATCATAACTTCAAATGAGCACAAGCACCTGGTCATAAGTCAAGGACTATCAGTATATTTTGTACTGGTTTTGTTACCACTGAGATTTTTTTAAACAATTACTTCCACTTCTTCAAATATAAGATATATTAATACTTCCTAAAATTATAGAACCAGATCTTTGAAATTAATAAAACCTTTATAACTGCAGTTGTTTGGAAGTTTATAGCATTGCAAAGTTCCACTCAGAATGCTTCCATTGACAGAAGGGGACAATTATTTCAAATTCTTCCTTATAGTATTTATCTGTAAAAGTACTTTCAGATTAAAAATTAACTACAGATAGAGAATTAAATCATTGAGTCAGCATTGTGAATTCATTCTTGTTTTTTCTTGCCACTTCCCAGTAAGTGAACGATAGGCAATGTTTCAGTTAGCACTACAGAAGTTTCAACAGGCAAATCTGGTAGTTAAAGGCTATGCAAGAAATATTGTTTGAGTAAACTTTTCTGTCTCAGTCTCCTAGAAAAACTTTCCTTTGTGTTTTATTTTATAATTTCTAAAAATAAACATTTTTAAATTACCCATTTATTTTATATAACATGCAAGTATTTTTTGTATATCACATCTGCCTTAAACATAGTTTTTCCTAAAAGAAATTCTGAATGCAAGATTTAACTCCACATTAGATGCAGACAAGAAGTAGAACTAAGCACAGAAGTGGAAAGTTTTACCTTACATATTGTTTCAATGATAATTCCCATCACCACCATCACCCATCTTTGTCTCAGAACAAGATAATTTTGCCTCTGAACTTACAGATCTTACAAGTTACGTAGTAACTATTTGGGGTGAAAAAATGGTCAGTTGAGAAAAAGTCATTTCTTTCAAAGTCAGGATTCTGTTGGGTTTTTTTCAAGCTGAAAGTTTGCAGCTTTCTGTTCTGGTTTTTTTTTTTTTTTTTCAAGCTGAAAGTTTGCAGCTAACATATACTTAGTATAAGCTTAGAGCCATAACACTATACTAGGTATTTCTATTTTTTCCATTGTTTTAGCATTAGCAGTTGTACCTAATTTAGAAACGTTTTCTATAGCTAACCCTCTGCAGTGAGAAAAAAGTGATCCTGCTTGGATTTTTATGTTTCTCTTAGAGGGTGATGAGTTGGTAGTTCCTGAGACATCAGATAACAGTCGAAAGCAAATGGTCCGAAATATTAATAATAAACGGCGCTACTCATTCCGAGTGCCTGAGGAAGAGAGAATGCAGCAGAGGAGGTCGGTATTCAACCTGTACTTGTCTTCTGTCCATGCTTGTAGGCCGTGAAGACTGTTGTGTCCCGTCATTGTATTTTTTTTTCTTTGATTGTTAGAAAAAAAATGGATTTCTGGTCAATGCGTTCAAACATTTGTCTTTTCTGTTATATAGTATGCTTTATTTACATTATGTATAATCCAATACTTAAATTTATTTTAATTTAAATATCAATGCAAAAGAACTATTGTAAATTGGAATGCATGTCTCCAACTACTGTACATAAGTACATTTGTGTGTGCATGTGTGTATATACTGTATATATGACTGATAATAAAGTTTTACAAAAGAAATTTATATTGCTAATTATGCATATATTGTCCAGTTTTGATATTCTATTTTTTTACACAATTCCTATCTGATTCTCTGTAATATTTCCCAGTGCTCTCACGATAACAATTATTTTTCAAATTTTGTGTAGTTTTCAGGCAGCAAAAGGGTCACCTTGCAAGATAGCAGTCAGACTATATGAAAATATTCAGAAAGGATTCTGATTTTTAAGAAAATACTTTCAAAAAATATGGAGTTAATGTTTCAGCATTTCTCATGTATAGGCTGTGCTGATAAAAGTTTGTATATAATTATGGGAAAACAGGGAAATAATTGAACTTGCTTGTTCTCAAGGCAGCCTCTTTTTTTTTCTTTTTTTTACTACTATTGAGGCTTTTTTAGACCTATTTATGACATAATCTATGATTAGGACCAATTTTATGCTGTTAGGTTTTCTAAAAACACTCAAAAATTTTCCTTTGTATCCTACAACACATTGGCAACTTTCTCTAAAGCTCTTTAAATTATTGTAAGAGTAAAATGCAAAGAGTAGTGCTATATCCTTCTAATCCTTTTCTTTTCTTCTACCCTTCATTTCTGCCTCCATCTTTGCAGCATCCGATCATCACTGAGCCCACTTCTACACCTTTTCTTGAATGTTGCCTCAACTCCCTCTCGTAGTGCACTCTGAGACCCAGTAACCATTTGGACTTTTTATGAACACGGGCTGTTAAGCTTTTAAGCCAAACCTCTGTTCTTCCTGACCTTTTCCCTTCCATCAAGCTAACAGCTGAGATAGAATCAGTATCAGAATTTAAAGTACTTTCCTTTTAAAATTTAGCCAAATATTTGGCTATTTGATTTTTTTGTTGTGGAATAATTTATATGACTAGTATATATTTACTCTTTGTGTTTACGAATAGCCACTTCAACATACAATACCTGAATATTTTCTTTTGCAGAGAGATGCTGCGAGATCCAGAAATGAGAAATAAATTAATTTCTCACCCAACTAACTTTAACCATATAGCACACATGGGCCCAGGAGATGGTATACAGATCCTCAAAGACCTGCCCATGGTAAGTACACACATAATGCATAACAAAAGCGAAATGAATTTGTCTGAAATATAATAAAAATAAAATGTATTGATTTTCTGTCCTCTCACAATCTCAGCAATTTACATACATGCAAACTTTAAAACATTCATAGTATGAGTAAAACAACACAAATAAACAAAATCATAACATTAATGATCAACATAGCAATAAAATGACAAAAGTAAGGAAAAAAGGATGGCACAAAAGGGAAGCATCGCTGGCATATGTTCTTCCTTTCATATTTGAAGGAAGAAAATGCCATTTTGTGTGATCCCTTGAACTTCAGGTCAAAAATCTCCAGCCTCTCGTTTCTTTTTTTCAATTGCTTCTTTTCAATCACTGCTGTCACTGATGGCCATTTGCTTATCACAGCTTTCCCCAACCCACTCTTAACCCTGCTGTTGTGTTTCCCCCAATTTCTCATCATCACTCTTCAGTAACCTGGCTAGGGAGGCTTGTAATTTAGCACATCCAAATCAATGGGATGGATAACCTGGCATTTCGTATGCCATTCTACTCCTGTGCTTATTCATTAATGAGACAGTCAGTCAAGGTCTTTAAATTCAAACCTGGTCCACTTGCTGTTTCTATTTTGTATGACTTTATGTCTTAGCTGTTTCTGACTTGCCTGTCTTTGTGTTGCAGAACCTTCGGCCTCAAGAAAGTCGGGCAATGTTTAGTGGTTCTGTCAGCATCCCTTCAATCACAAAAACTCGGCCCGAGCCTGGACGCTCCATGAGTGCTAGTAGTGGTTTGGCAGCAAGTAAGTTTCTGAGCCTTACCTTGGTGTCAGCCTCTTTCTCTGTTTTCCTTGAGAAGGGTTACCTGTTACCTCTGCATTTGTCTGCTTCCTGAAGAATGTATTATGAAAGGGTCAGACATTTTGATGGTCAAGGATATACGGCCTTAAGAGCAAAGGGAATTTAGTCAAGAAAAGATTCTCTTTGGAGAGATATGAGAGCAATGCAGACTTAATAATTTTCAAAGGTAATAACACTGGATTTATGTATATATTATGTATATATAAGAGCTGTTTACAAACAGTATATTTTTGTTCGTTTCTTAGTTAACTTTTGGAACTCCCTAATATTGAAAAGACACATGCTTATGAACTGAGATCAGGCACATATTCTATATTTTAAAAAAGGGAAAGTATATTTGTTTTTGCCTATTTGTCACATTTCACTGTTATGAAATATATCAACAGAGTACCTAGAATAAAGCCTTACAATCATATGAAAAAGTATTATTTCATCTGAATATGAAAAAGAGCTGCAGAACTGAGTACTAATGAAATTTAATCTTTTTAAAGAAATGAGTTGAACCCAAGTCCTGATAATTACATGAAAGGGCCCATAGACTTTTCTTGGCAACAGTAAAGAAGTGTTAGCTGTACAACCACTTGTTACTAAGTGCATATTGCTGTAGAGAAGTATGAGGAACGTTGTATGCAGGGATTAAATTGCAAAAATATCAATAATATTGAAAGTATGCTTATATCTTATGAAAACAAATGTACTTCAATGCACGTATCCCGTTTCACGTTCTGTACTGTTTTCATTATTGGTGTATAGCAGTCAGGGTACTGATGGAGGCCTAATCAGGATTGGCACTAGGAAATGGGGCATTTGCATAATACTTTCAGATATATATCAGAGCTGCTGTTTATCTGCAATGAACTGCTATAGGAGCAACGTTTCCAGAAATGTTGGCAAAATATTTGAGATTCAATGCAAGTGGAAGATGTTAAACCTCCCTTCCTATACTTTACCCCACCTAGCACTTTCTCCTTAACCAACACAGAGATGTTAATTCAACAATGCATATAAAATTGTTTTTATTCTTGGTGAAATGGAGGCTGGGATGGAAGAGGGAGAGGAACCTTGATAGAAAGGCATGACGATGGAAAAACAAAACTGGCAACCATCAGTAGACCAAATAATGGTAAAGGGTGACAATGAATACTATGGGTTATAGTTCTAATGCTTTTACATGGTATGTACTTAAATTCCTGGGTGCATTTCTAGGAACATCTGCACAAAATGGTAGTGCTTTGCGGAGAGAATTCTCAGGAGGCAGCTATGGAGCAAAGCGTCAGCCAATGGCATCCCCTTCAGATGGCTCTTTGTCTTCTGGTGGCTTGGACCAAGGCAGTGATGCACCAGTGAGGGAGTACGAGAGAGAGGTGGGTATAAGCTTCAGTTTATGCTTAAAGTAATCAAAAATAGAGACACATAACTACTTCACTAGTCAATAATTGAAAGGGAAAGTATTATTCTGCAAAATATGATAAAAATTCCAGTATTACATTGATAATTTTGTTATCAATAGCTAAATAGGTTCCATACGTTTTAGATCTCAGCACCATCATGTCAAGCCTGATTTATGAAAATTGCATACAACGTATCTGTTAAGTCATCTGATCACAGAAGGCCAATCCTTAAATCTTTGAATTGTTTGGTCCGGGGATCAATCCAAATTGTAAATTTCTCAAATGGGCTGAATCCCCTGTGGAAACAACCACCAGCTAAAAAATGTTTTGTTGAACAAGCAAAAATTTTTCCAAGAAACAATTTGGGGAGATTCTTGTTCATACGATTTTTTTGTTGTTGTTGTTATTGTTAAGCAATTGTTTAGGTGTATGTAATACAGTGCAGTACAAACAAAGCCACTTCAGGAAATTATGCAAATAAACTTTTATGTAAATGTGATTATAGCATTTATAGGCATAGATGCAGATACAGGAAAATAAAAATTAGATCAACAAAGGTCCCTAAATGTATTAATTGCCTCTGAAGTTTATAACAACTCTAGAAAAATAAGTGTGCTTTTATATTTGGCAGATTGTAAATATAAATATATGTTCTACTGCATTAGTGACAGCATTGCGTGGACTCAAAATGTCAAGAGCCCAAAAAAAGACCTTCTAGAAAGTTGCTTGTATAAATGTATAATGTGCTGTTTGTTTTCATTCCTCCAAAAGTTCAGACCAATGCACTTAGTGAACAAAATTAGGAACATTCTCTTGATAAGGTAGAATGGGTATTCTTCACTGCCTATTTTTGATAGGGTTGCTGGCCAGGCAGAGAAAGGAGAGGTACCACTTGGCACTCCGTTCCTTTGTTGTCCCTTCCTATAGAGGAAATCCCTCTATAGGTTTCCAAGCCTCCCTCTTTCCATTTGTTGCTGTACTATTCTTCACTAATATGTTCTCTTCACGTGTTTTGGGCTACAGGACTCTGACTCTCCAAGGCATTCTACAGCTTCCAACAGTTCCAACCTGAGCAGCCCTCCCAGTCCCATTTCTCCTCACAAGACCAAGAGCCTCTCCCTGGAGAGCTCGGACCACGTGAGTTGGGACTCATGAACTGCTTCGGCACTCAGATTTGACATCTCAGCAGCTTTTGGTCCCCATGATTCTCCATTTGCTCTCATTCTCATCTCCTCTCAGCTTCCCTACAAGAATCAAACTGTGGGTGGGAGGGGGAGGAAGAGAGTGTATGTGCCATAACTGGCACCAGTAGCGCAATTCTCTTCCCCTCCTAATAGTAGCCAGCAAACAAAAGAAAACCTTGGTGGAGGGCAGCACGGAGTTGTTGTTATATGAGAAATATTGGTATATTTCTATTATTATCAATTTTATTTCATAGGATTATGAAATTCCATTGTATGGCATATTATGCAATACACCACACTCCAAACAAAACATGGTAGTGTAGGCTGATATACACAATATGTAACAGGAAACCAGACAGATTTGCTTTGGAACATGTAGACCCATATTATATTTTTTCAGGAATAAATACAGCAACATCCTCCATGTTTGATGATAGGGTGAAATTTGCCCTGCTAAGGAAGATAAACATGCTTTCAGACACTTTGAATGTCAGTCTGATTGCTACCAGTAAATCTTATTGATTTTGGGGGGAAATGATGCATATTTTACTATAATAGAGTTTAAGTAAATACACAAAATTAAGAGTTAGTACATATGTATATAATAAAAGAAAAAGCAGCATTGTAATGCAGCAGAAGATGGATTCCTATTTAAGAGATCCTTTAATTTAAAATTTGTGGTGTTCCTTTTTTCATACTAAATAATCTATGGATTGAGGGTGTGATCTGAATTTAGAATATGGCACTGGATAAAAAACATACAGCCTAGATGAAGACTCCATCCTCACAATTTTTGCTGTGACATTTCCTCCTTATCAGTAGAAAAACGAAAGCCATAAGCATCATTTTAAATTATCTCTGCCTGTTTTCTGCCTGTTCTTTATTTTACAAGCAAAACCTATTGTTTACTAATACACAGATGATGGTAAACTGAAGGGTGTCCAAACAATTATAGAATCTCCTCAGCTGAAGTAAGCAAATAGAAATGAATGAGCTTTTGGAAGATTAGGGCTAGGCTTTCAAACCCATTTTGCCTTTTAATCACCACAAGCTCTTAAGTAACTTTCTTAGTTAACTAACTACATTCACTGAATTCAAGGATCATTCAGTCCGAAATAGAAGTTTGTAGTTTGTTCTTGATCACTGAAAGTTAACATGCCACTTGTAGGGTTGTACTCTGCTAAATTATTCAAGACTTCTAAAGATTTTCATTGCGGTCATCTGCTCACCCATCCTGGTCCAGAATGCCCATTGTCTTTGATGTAGAATTCTAGTGGTTGAATCTAATAGAGAAAGCTTAATCAGCGCGCAGCATTTCTGTCTGAATAGTCGAGATCCATCGTCACCTAGAAAAGCAGTGGCAAAGACAACATGCAGATGGAGGGGAAAGGCAAACCCTTTTTTCTTCCGTGCTATTGAATAAAATGAGTACAGTTTGCATTTTCACACTAGACAAATGTTGTTTTTCTTCTTAAAATCATTGCTTCTTTAGGCTAGACTTAAGCTTAAGTGGATAAAGAATTCAGGTGGTAATTTTTTTAAAAAAAGATAAAGAGTTTCTACAGGTTTTGTAATATATCATGGATATTGTCGAACAATTAGAGTTAACATCAGTGGAAAAACAACAAATCTAACAGTTTCCTAGGTCACCTCTGAAAAATCATCAACTACAATCACGCCAAATTCTGATTAAGTACTGGAAGATAGAGATCATTGTCTCTAATCATCTAGGTGTGTTCAGTCTGTTATCTGTGTCTTGATTTGCATTTAGCTCTCTTATGCTGGGGAATAATTGGGAGTAGGAAGCAAACTTAAAATTTTGCTATTAAGCATTGTATCCTAAACCTGTCTGTTGAATTGACTTTATTAAGAATCTCAGAAGTGTGTTTTGTCATGAGTTAGAAACAAAAGATTTGAAATTCAGAGCTACCACTTAAACATACTAAAGGAATTTCCTGCAACTTTTCCAAGGAATTGAGTCACAGCGACAAGAACAGCATATAAAATCTATTAACTCTCGACTCCTTTGACAGTGACTATTCCAAGATCCTGTTTCAACCCCTTCAGTCTTTCCTATAGCAATGCTCTTGTCATTGCCATTGCTGCATACCATGGCGAAAAGGTTAGCATTCCCCCCACCCCCAATTGGCTGGTGTTTTTTTAAAGGCTTCTGGTTCTAGCTTTAAACTGCACCTAGCTTGCAGAATTATTGACTTCAGAAATGATCTTGGAAGCCCTCAACAAGTCCTATGGCAATCAAGCTGTTTCACTTGAAGATATAGTTGTCACACATGCAAACAAGAGCTAAGGGGAAGGAATATGCAGATTAGAAATAGTTTTACATAATATCAAACTATTTAATAAATGTAAGCACTACCCTTCATTAAGATTTGTGAACCTCCAATACCAATATTGATAAATTATTGGGTACTTTTTTCCGACTGTACCCATCACAAACACTCTTATATCTCTGAAGAGTTAGCTAGTAAAGTTGAGGTTTCCTGCGGTGCATTTCTGTTTTCATTCCTACATGATTCCGTTTCTCCAGGCACTTTCATGTGCTCTGATTGAATCCTGACTAATTTTATTAGGATCTCTTTTGTATGCAGCTTGAAGCTATGCTGGCCCTTAAATGAGAAGCTTGCTTTGAATTGATTCAGGCACGTCATTCATTGCCCTGTTATATTTAAGAGGTTTAATAAATTGGATTATAATTATAACTGAACCTCAGATGGTTCACCTCTTGAGACTCTTGTGTATTTAAAATAGAAACAATCTATACACAACATTCATGTTTTTTTCAGAATATATTCCTATTGTATAGTTTTGTCTTCTAAACCAATCTTTCATTAATGGCTTTGTCTAAAATTTGACTGACAGGTTATTTTGTATTCCTATTTATCTTTTTTCTTTTCTTAGAACAGCAGGGTTGAGGGGGAATTCACTATAACATTTATGTTAAACTCAGGTATTTGGAAACAGACTAATGTTTTAATATGATACATATTAATGCAATAATGTACTTTTGGGTATGTGATTCACCAGATATACATCTTAAGTCGCAAACAAAGCTTTTGTTCCAAAGTCAAAAACTTGGGAGATAAATTGAATTAAGGATGGTGGATGCTAAAAATACTTGTGATTTTTCAGCTACCAGATTTCAGGGATAACATACACATGTGTAGCAGCATCAGCAGAGATTATTCCTCTTTCCTTTCCTTGTCTGTTGTTTAATGAAAAGAAATTGGCTTGTTAGGATTATACCACAGAGTTACCTCTTTATAACTGGGGTCCTTTATCTGGTGCAGAGTTTGGAGACCCCAGGACATGCATGTGCCTTCAGAGGAAGGTTACTGAAAGGCTCCTGGCAAAATTTAGCCCAGAGCAACAAGACTAATCAAGGCACTACCCTGTCACTTTCAAAGTGTTATCATTTTCCTGGGAAACTAGGTTTGCAATTCTTCATCTATAGGGGCCTTCAGGAATCAGTGAAGCTGAGGACTTTAAGTTTTGGGGGACCACATTGCATGTTAAAGCAATTCCACAAAAAAAAAAAAATCATTGTTTTCCTTTCTCATTCTGCATAAAAAACAGTCACACTGATGAGGAAGCAATTCACAACCAAAAAATGGTATTTAACAGAATTATACCTGCCTTTTTATGTACGATTTCATATCATTTATTTTTTAAAAAAAGATATTTTTAGGGATTTTTTTTCATTGTAATATTGTTGTACAGTTTTGCATGGCCTAGATGTAATCACTTTTTTTGTTTTGGTTTAGAGTATAAAAGCTGACAAGTGTGTGCGTGGGAGGGGGAAGTTTCTGCTTTGGCTCTTCTCACTCGTCTTTCTGATTCATGTCCTCAGTGTTGTAGAGGACATTGTAAGAGATTCTCTGCTCCAGAACAATGATGTAGATTCTATTGCACAGAAATATTTAAGGTGGATCAAGTCAAAAGTGTAATAAGTGGCAGACCACCAATATTTTACATTGATAACACTTAATATTAACCTACTTTGTTGTATTGCAATAAAACAGGGAAATACTAGAAATTCAGATCGTTTGTCTTCTTTTCCCTTCTCCCTCAGATCAATTTTATGGTAAGAATGGGCCCATAAATTCAGCTATTGAGATCTTAAATTTCTTACATTAGAATTGCTGGGCCAGGAAACGTTAGGGAGTGGTTGCTCTCTTCCAAAGCATCTACTTAATTTAAACCATAGACTAATCATACATTCTGTTCTTGTTTGCTCAATGCTGCTGAGGATAAAAACATTTAAGCTCATCGTATTTTTTCTCCAGCATGTGGTTTGCAAGCAATGAATCCAGATGCATATTGAATATACTGTTTTGTGAATAGAGCTTAATGAATGGCTATTTGAAGGACAAACTGAACTTAAAAGTGTCAGGTCAATATTAATTTGCTCTTGTTTACTGATACACTGCAACAATCAAATAGAAAACAGGAATTTATTGTGCAACCCTATAGATGCAGCTTTTTAGTTAGGAAAAAGCTGTGAGGGCATTTTTTTTTGTTAAAACCTTGCCATCTCCACCCCAGCCCACTTCCATCATAATACTATTTGCCCAGTGTGCTATTTACAGTAGTTTATTTTATAGGAAACAATTAGGAAGGATGTCTGATACAGTTGCTAAATATCATAGTTGTAATGCACATTATTCCTGCACACAAGCATTCCTGCCATTTCTAAAAACCCGCCACAGAAAAGCCCATGCCTTTTTCTATGGCAAGTACATTGTTAAATATCCTGATAGTTCTAACATCAAACTGCTGGACTACATTTATTACTCTAGACAAATCAACCATGCTTTGTCTTAAAAATAATTTGAATTCACATAACTTATAGTATTGGTATTTTCTTTGACTGTGAAGATTTAATGACATGCAGAACTTCAGTCATGAGATGTTCAGAGAATTTAGTGACCGCATCACTACAGTGTGTATTTCTGATTCGCTTTGACATAGACCTGTGTTTCACTGAATCGCTCCTCTTGTTTGGAAAATCATTTCATAAATGATGCATGAAGCACTGTCAGGTCAAGTGAAAGCAACCAGAACCACTTGTGAATAGTCGCAAACAGAAGCTTTATTGCTAGTCACACGTTACAAGAATCTCACCAGACTGACTGTATTTTCTTGGGAACAGTCAGATAGAGGCTTCAAGGATTCTAGGGGAGCTTAATTTTTTGTGACAAGCAGGAAGAAAGTGGTTTTCTTCTCTTGGCATTAAATTTTTCAAATACATTCCTTGTAAATGAGATTGTAAATTTCTTTGATTAAAGGTATTTGAATAATCACATCTGGAAGAGTGATACTTTATACAGTAATGTTAAAATTCCTCAAAAAGCAGATTCCTATTGGCAGTTAATATTTTTGGTTTAACAAGCCCCTTGTCAGCTTTTTATACTCTTAGTAATGCTCATATTCCATCTTTTCACACATTTCATCTCTCTCTTTAACTCTCTGATATTGCAGCATAGAGTACAGAATTTTAAAATGTTTCTTTCCTGTTGGGTGAAATGAAGACTATAATGGTCTATTGGAACAATGCACCAGATTATAAATAATATTTTATAATTTACAAACATCTATTCATTTTTCTATGAACTTAGGACTTGAATTCCATAATATCCTTTCAATATAATTGCTTCAATACCATCAATTGTGCACTATGTGAATTAACACAGTAAACCGCTCCAAAGAAATAAGATCAATTTATCTAAATGTATAGAAGCAATCTGCAAGGTATTTTAGGCAGCAAGAGAGAGGTTTAGGACCAATGAAATAATAAAATGACAAGTAGACACCCTTCCCAAATCCTTGCTAATTTGACAATGAATTATCATATTGAAAAGCAAGTAGTGCGAATCAGTAAAAAATACTCATACTATAGACTGGTAGAAAATATGACATGCATATCCTCTTCAGAAGCAATTTGTGTTTAAGTGACTGATACACACACACACATAGAGAACTCTCCACAAAACCTGCGTGCTATCATTAAATCTTTTCTGACAATCACTTCGGTGCCTTAGGAGATTAGCCAAAATTGATGTAAATTGGAATAAATAATGGCAGACCTTCTGAAGCTCTGTCATAGTATTAGAAAGACATTTTTAACTACTGGTGTATCCACAGCAAGACTCTTTCTCCATCACCCATTATCCTAAATTCTAGTAGGAAAATTGATTTAGGCAAGAGAAAGTGGGAAATATTTGTTATTACTTCCTTCCTGCAGGATTTATAGTTTCTGGTGTAGCATAAATAAATTCAATTAATTTATTATTAACACATTTAGCAACAGAATTAACCATCTTAAGCAGAAAGTATTAAAGGCATTACGGTAGGTCAGAATTCAGCTAAAGAATGTCGCAGTTCATGGTTTCAAAGCAAGTGTTTACTTTGATTATTCCAGGCCACAGGGTAACTTGCTGTAATTGATTATGTGCCATCATTTTTGACTCCTAGCAACCACATGATTGGTTTTCTTCAGGATGATCTATCCCTAACATCTTTCAAATCTCTCAACAGTGGCATTCATCACTATACATAACTGAATCAACCTACCTTGTTGCTGGTCATCCTATTCCTCTTTCCTTCCACCATTCTCAGCATTAGACTTTTTTTCCAGAGAGCGGAGTCTTTGCATAATATGTCCAAAATAGTTTAATTTGAACCTGGCTATTTGTGCCTCATCTGAGAACTCTGGATGGATTTATTCAGTGATCCATCAGTTTGTTTTCTTGGCTGCCCATGGTATTCTTAGGAGTCTTCAACAACAACCAAGTTCAAAGGCGTCAAAACTCTTCCTAGCCTGCTTTTTTAAAATTCAGCTTTCCAACTTTTTTTGCTATTTCAATTCTTAGGTTCAGACAAATCTTATTCTTTGCATAATAGCAGTATTTTTTGACACACATTATAGGGAAGTACTTAGTTTTCTAGAGGTTTTGGACAACTACTATCGGCTCCAATTGCAACAGGAGCAATAGCAAAAGACTATAGGAGGCACAACCCAAAACATTTGCAGAGTGTCAGGTTGCCTACATTTAAAGTATTGCTTTTAGTAAAATAAAGAGTCCAGATGAAGCCTGCACATGCATTCAACACATTTTCAGAATATATAAAGGAAAAGCAGGACCACAAGATCTTTGGCAACAATTTCATCTATTCTTTGTTAAGTGGGCATTGCACATCCTCATCTGAGGCTTTTCAAGTTATTAAAACTTTTTTGGGAACTGAGTTTGACTTTGGGGTTAAATTAACGATTATTTTACATAAAGATAGAAAGGTGTATAAACTGAAAAATCAGGTTCAGATGAACACATGTAAATATCAAAATCTTTCTACTCAATGGATAGTGGCTGTAGTTTATTTGTATTGAATTATGTCTAACATGCTCCTCCAACTATCTAAAGACTGAAACGAAACAAAAAAAAATACAAGATTCTTATCACCGAGACAATTAAGTCCACCAACACAATATTTTGCACAAGCACCTCTTTATTTCAAATAAGTTCAAAGTTGGACAGTTACAAAAAGTGTGTGTGTGTGTGCACTGAGCTATTTAAATGTAGATCATGCTTTTCAATGCAATTCTGAAACATAATTGATACTGATTATACATCTTCTGTCTTCATCAAAAGTTGCACTACCAAATATGAAGACGGAGAAATTAGAGTTTTGCTCCTGGGCTCCTATAAATGCCACTGAGCTTTGGTTTCTCTAAATCTCCATTTAACGAGTAAACCCAATTTTTGAGACCTCGTTAATTACATTCCTTCTACTTATAGCTCAAAGAATCAAAGATAAGCAACCAAATTTCAAGGTAAGATGTTCTACATACACCAATGAACTGTTTGTATCAGATTCTTTAAAATCCCGTTTTGTTGAGCACCAGAGACTCCACATATATATATTTCACACTGTTCTATAAGAAAACCCCAGACATTACAGACTCCCACCAAGTATCATACAAAAATAAGGTCTTGTTGTAAATTATGTTGGCATTCTATTCTTTGCAGTATGAAACTGCAGAAAAAAGCCTTTCAACCTTTGAAGGAAACTGAAAAAAATCTTGAAGATGAGGAAAATAACATTTAAAGAAGTACAAATAAATTTCCACGCCAACTCATTTTGACTTATGTTGCTCCTCAGTATTTTTTTTCTTAAAAAAAAGTCAACTCAGCTACCGATGTTAAAATATGAAAAAGATTGCCAAGATCTAGGACAGTATGAAATGCAGCAGTTCATTTTTGCCTCCACATCTTCTAAACTAGCAAACCACTATTTTTTTTTTATAAAACAGGAGATACACCTAAAATCTGGTGAGAATGTTGAAAGGAACTGTACCCAATAAAAGCACAATTTACTCAAAATTATTCTGCTTCCAGAAGACCATCTGTTGCATTGCTAAAGCAATTCTGGAGGCGTGATAGAGAAGAAATAGTACTGTGGTATGCCAGAGCTTGATGATTGGGCCATATTTATAAGACAAAAATATTTAATAGTTCTTTTGTGCCATTACTCGTTTTTGGTCTTTTTACTCCAGTATTTACTGTAGGCTTCTTGAAACATATTCTTGCATGAAATTTTGGCCTTCAGCTTGGAGCATATGAGAAAAGAGCCACCCATTTTCCGATGAAGAGAATAGGTCTCTTCTGGTGGAGGGACCAACCTGTGCTTCAGCATGACTGGGATTAATCCATGTATCTTTTCAGTGGTCTTTTGAGAGCCAAAATCAAAAGGTTCATGGGATGCAAAAGCTTCTCCAAGAATAAGGACAGCATCCAAGTGGGCATCTTCCATAGCCTGATTAAAAACAAAACAGAAAGTGATTGTGATCGGCTACTTCAAGCAGGTCTACTGAAAAGAAAATGAAAGAATCAATAATCACCAACATAAATCAGACAAAATTGGTCTGACAAATAGCAGCAGTAGTCAAAACCCAGCTCTGGAATAATAACCCACAAGCAGCGATTCTTGGTTTAATATACAAAATAGACTCTGCCTTCTTAGCACAGGTAAGAGTGT